AAATAAGTAATTTCAAATATTTAGTTCATTAATTTAGACGATTCCATGAAAGATAGTGTGTATACCATGGCCGTAAACTGTTTGGCGACCTCAAGATTATCATGAACCTAAAGCTGCACCAGCGTTTGAATCCCACAACAAAAAAAACTTCATGAAAATTTTTAACACATCAATTACAATTTTTTGCATCTGAAATTTTTTGCAGTTATAGATTCACGGAAATAGGGTCGTGGTACAGCATTAGACTGAAGTGACACCATGTAAATTATTATTTTTTAAACATCCAGCTTCGCAATATTCTGCCTGTACCATCTTTCCTTGTCTTCAGTGTTCCAATGTAAAATAATGGGAATTTTATGTTCCTTACATTGGAAATGGAAAAAATGAAGAATATCATAGCATTACATAATATGTCATTCAGATTAGTAACATCGTAACATGTTATTCAGAAAGTGTAACTTGAATTTCAGATTAGTCAATTGTAATTCAGAAAGGTTCAATTCAGCAACTAGGAACAATTAGTATGTATTCTCCTAAAGTCTCATGCGTTTGGATCCGTGCACCCCAATTTGAAACAATAAGGTCCAAAGTGAAGTGCAATGTGAAAGTAAACCTTCGAGTACCACAAGTTGAAGATCCGGGTGTTGGAGAATAACGACTCGTTTTTCTTGAGCAGAATTAACCTACCCTTATTCCTTGGTAGTTTCTGGCGAGGTTTCTGGATTAGAAGTGATGCTTTCCGAATTAAGATTGACTAATCTGAATTAAAAGTTACACTTTTTGAATTACATGTTCTAAATCTTAATGAATTACAATAAACAAATCTGAATTACAAATCAAAATTGACGCTTTCTGAATTAAAATAGGGGACTCGCTCCAAGTCGCCAACCTAAAAACCTCTACCACTGTAGAAGCAATATTATTCAAGTTTGATTACTCAAATAGCTTTATTTTGGTGACATCTGATCTGTGGGGGTCTACTCAACTTTCTAATGAAAGTTATTCAGAAGAAAAATTAGTTTTTGTGAACTTCACATCAGAAAATCATGTTGGTGCATCTGCGTAACGTCAATACTAAGACGTCAATACTTTCAATATGTCAGTAGTGTCACGAGTAAACATTTGAATAAAGGTTTGTTTTTTTGATTTTGTTGTATTCCGACTTTTGTGATATGTATCTCTATTATTGGAAACTTTGACCAGTTTTCATCCAAGGTGAGCCGTATTTATTGAATGATATCTCTTCCCTATTGTTATTTTTTAATAGGAAAATGCTTATTATTACAAAGGTGAATACACCTCCATGGGTTCTTTTTCATTTCAGGAAAAGGTTGAAACTTCATGATTTCGATCTTACGAAGTTATGTCTGGATCGATTTATAGCACTCAAATGAAATATATTCCTACTTCCTACTGCAAGGATCAAACTTGTTTACCAAATAATTATAAATAATAGCGTTGTCCATATGAATGAAATAATCTTGAATATGTAACTAAAATGTGACTAGTAATAAAAATTAAGACGGTATGACATATTTCAGAATGAAAGCAAGTGCATCAACATAATTTTCAACTAATCAGAACTGGAGTTCACAAAAATCATTTTTTCTTCTGAATAACTTCTATTAGTGAGCTGAGTTGACTCCTACAATCAGATTTCATCAAAATGAAGCCATTTGAGTAATAAAACTTCCATAATGTTGCTTCTACATTGATAGAAGTTTTTCGGTTGGCAGGAAGTCCCCCATTAACGATTTTGAAGTACCTACCCCTTACACTGAATTACAAATCATATTTTCTGGATTACAATTGAAAAGGTGTAGTGCCGTCACGCAGGACGATATATTATGATATCACGTCCATTCCAAAATGTTATTTTTCCACTTCTTTTTTATTGAAAACATGAAATATCATCAGTTTGACACTGCCAATCAAATATGGCTGTAAGGACTGTAAGATGTGTGTATGTAGTATGTAGTTCACAGTTAACAGTTGATACAAAGAATTACTTTCGGGCCTGGGGCTCTATTCTCGAACCGTTCGAATTCAATTCGTATACGAATAAAGAAAGATGCACTTATGTATGTGACGTATATTGAAGTGAAATAGAAGATCGAACTCGTATACGAATATCGCTCGAGAATAGACCCCCTGTTTCAGTGAAAAATTTCATTTCATTATTTCGATGTACTAACCCTAACTAACTCACTGTCGCAAACCATTTTTTTCTAAGAGCTCTGTAACTTTTTTAAATAATTATCAAAATTCATGATATTTCATAACATGAAAAACGCGGGAAAACGCGAGACGCAATCATCCGAGAACACCATATAAGATTCGACTTACGTATCAATTCTCTATTGTCTATGGACAAGTGTAAGAATACTTTCGAATGTCATTTCAATCAGAATATGGAATGAATTTTCTGGATTGAATACTTAATGCAGATAACAGAGAACATAACGCACAACTGAAGAATCAGATAATGTGAGCATTATCTTTGAATATTCGCATCTTGACTAGATGAAACAAAGATTTGACGATGAAGGTGACAGCCAATGTTAACGTCAGGAAGTTAGGTTGACAATGTAGTTTGTCTTCTTCTTCTATTTTGTATTTCTGGGAACTCAGGCATCACACTGTTGCCCGTGCCAAAAAATAATGTGAGATCTAATAAAATCTCAATCATTATTAGGAATACTAGGATATTCTTATTGGTAGGTATTGAAGCATCTTGCAAGTATATAAGTATTCAATAAGTGATTATTAGGGACCAGGTCGATCTATTATCTTATGTGAATGTTTATGCTATTGTCATTGGTCATATTAAATCGCATAAGGTAATTACTGGTTAGAAATCTGGCAACGTCGAAATATCTGGCGTTTTTCGGATTCGCCGAATTTAATTATAAAAAAACTAAATATTTGTGATGATTTTAAATAACGAATAATTGCATCAAATACTATTATTAACACTGCTCGGTATAGGGTTGACAGAACAGAATCAGTCCCTCAGAAACCTTCCACCTTTATTAACACTTAACACAATGTATTCTTTACAACGCTTCAAATAAGAATGCATCCACCTAAATGCCTCCTGATCGGATACAGTCATGTGTAGATAGGTGACTAAACCTTATGTAACCACTAACTGTAGATCTGTGCTTCTAATGGTACAGGGCGTCCGGCATCTGGCTAGTCGCTAACACTAGGGTCCCTTGATGGAAATTGACATTAAAGTCATATTAACAGTGTAGCTGCATTCTTTTTTAATGATCTAGAGACTTTAGTTTTGTCTACTGGCATCCCTGACATTGCTGTCACGTCACATCCATGGGCGCTACAGAAAATCATTCGAAATTTTAATAATAGGTATGTACAGGGTATTTAATTGTTGAGGAAGATCCTGTGGCGAACAAGTTTTGTGATGAAGATTCGATTCTATTCAAAATTGATATCTGGCGGTTTTCGGGGTAAGAGATAATGATTGTTCCGTCAAAATTGAAAAATCCAAGATAACGGATCCATTAGTTTATATAATCACTTTTCTATCACAAATAATAGAAAATATGTAGGATGCAAGAGTGCAAATAACGTGCCTATAAGTTATGCTGCGTATACCTACTTGTTTGTTACTTTCATCAATAAATTATTTGAAAATGACTTTTAAGAATTATATGTATAACATGGGGGTGAAGTATATTCTATTCTTTATTTCCCTGCACATTTTACAAATAACTTTTTATCAGCCTACTTTTCGTCATAGACGAAGTTTTATACATAGTTGATATTAGTCACTCAATAAATTCTTCGAGTTGTATTTCCGAAAATATATTTAGCACACATTACATGAGTACAGTAGTTTAGGTATTCACATCGAGGTTTTCACCATTTCTCAATCATAAGGCTCAGCTCATAGATAAACTACTGCTCAGTTTGAAATCAGAATGCATTCAGTCAATTCAGTCAACCCTTGTATAAAGCCTAAGAACAGTCTCTTTTGGTGAAATATATTGAGCTTTCAGTGAAATTCATATGTTCCCTTAGCTACCTCTCAAAAATTATGCTGGAGTAAGTAAACTCTAAAGGGCGCTATTTACCAGCAAGTTCGATGCAATGCAATTTTGAATCGAACAATGCGCATGCGTCTATGATATTTCACGTCAAGTTTCATGCAAGTTTCGTAATAGAACCAGTCTTATTTTTCCTGCAATTTCAAGGCAAGTTTAGTAAAATTTTTAGTAATATTCATCGTAACATCTTGATGAAATACTAATTTTCTCCATAACGTGGCCTGAAACACCAAATAACCTCAAAAAGTACATTGAAGGCTCAAAAAACCTGGAAATAGTGAATATGAACAAGAAAATATGACAGAAATATCTCAATGTACGACGAGAAAAATTGCGAGAAAATTGCATTGCCTCGAACTTGCCGAGAAATAGCATAATGTACGGCGCCCTCATAACTAGAGGATTGTTCATCTATATTTTGGTATAGTTGAATCAGGAATTACATATGGAAATTACGTATGATACGCCAGTGACCTCAATATAACCTAAAAAACCACAAATGCCAAAAATCTAGTGTTTTTCCCCAGAAATGAATTAAGATGGAACTATATAACTGTTTCACAAACACTTTAGAGTGAGAGGAGACGAGGATCTGTCCGTACCCTGTAGAGATGACAAATACGTCAGTTTACATCAAGGGACCCTAGCTAACACTATTTATACATGGAATTTTCAATATAAAATGAGTATGTGGCGTAAATTCGGCTAGTGTGTACAACCCCATTGTACCTGACTTATTTGAAACGCCATTCATAGGACGTGCAGGCTTTCAGTCGTTGCCTATGAAGTTCGCTTGAAATTTACTGTGTGAACTACTAGAACGAAGTTATGCATTTCATATTTGAATACCAAATCAGTTCCTCACTATCATGATTAGTTCCATTATTCATGAGGTGAGTCAAATAAGTAAATTCGATTGCATTTCAGGTAACCCCATTGATGGCAAAGGCCCTCTTGGCACCAAAACTCGTTTCCGTGTTGGTATCAAGGCTCCAGGTATCATCCCTCGTATCTCTGTCAGAGAACCTATGCAGTCTGGAATCAAGGCTGTAGATTCTCTTGTACCAATCGGTCGTGGTCAGCGTGAGTTGATCATTGGGGATCGTCAAACTGGGTAATTAGCCATACATACTTTTGAAAAATTTGCGGTATATTATTCTAAAGATGATCACAAAATTAAATTTTAACTTTCTCTTCACATTTAAGGTACAGTTTCATGAATATTATTAACACTATAATATCAAACTCTTACAAATATAATCACTTCATCACCCGAAGTCACCCAGATTCTCGAAATGGATAAGGTCATATAAAGTTAGTTTTTCTGCAACCGACACAAAAGTCGTCCATTTTGATACCAAAATTAGCTCTTAAATTGACGTTTCTATTACTGACACAAAAATAGGTATGTTGCTAGGCAACATATTTAGTTCCTAGGAGCTAAAGTTGAATTTTAGTTCCTAGGAGCTAAAGTTGAACTTTAGCTCCTAGGAACTAAAAAGGATGTACTGGACGGCATCAAGAATAAACAACATTGTGACGGTTGGTTATTTGGGTTGAGACGCATACCTGATTTGTTTCCGATTTCAGCAGATTTGGCATTTCATACCCATGCTGGAGATATAAATACACCTTATTATAGTTTAGTATTGAAATTATAAACATCTCAGCTAAGTATTTTTGTATTAATCAGGGAAGCCTTCAAGATTCAAATACTTGCTTGATCTCGCTGTATTTAATTCGTTATTCTCGGGATGGATAACTTGTTTTTGAATAATCACGACAAGCAATAGTTTTTTGTCTCAAACAACGATATTGTTTAGCTTCATTTGATTATCAAGTCAAGTATGTTTTTTGACGTTTGTAGATAAACTTTTGTTCGCGAGTCAAGCACTCTAGATACAAAAATAACTAATTCTAAATAGAATTCGCGGTCGCTACGCGTCGGGAGACAACACAACCTGGAGTTAAAATTACTACTTTTTTCCCTTGTATAATAAATAACTATTTCTCTCTGGGTAATTGTCCTAGTTCTAATTTAGTTTTAAATTTCTTTGTAATAGTACCGATGTTCCGAAGTTTGTTCTGATTTCTGGGTTGATTTATTATATCTAAAGAAAATGAACCGTAACACCGATTTGCTGACCCCCTGATGGAAAAATATAACCTAGGTATTCAGTGTGGTTCAGTATTTGCCTACATTTTGCGAGCAATATGTTTATTTCAAATGCAACCCTATGACTTGTGACTTCTCATTGGAAGGCTGGTTGAAAGAGAGGGACCTATAATTTTAGTTTGCAGTTTGGGGGGGTTGAATAAAATCAAAATATAATTCTCAAGTTTACTATATTTTCAACTTATATTCATCAAAATTACGATTTTTAGCGACTTTACCGTTTGCAAAAACACTCTGTTTCGAACTGTGAATACGGCCTTAAAACTAAATTTCTATTCGCGGATTTATAAAAACACTGGCATTCAATAGCAGATAGCAGTTGTGGCTAAAAATTACATTTTGATTTCATGCAACCATCAAACGTACAAAAACTAAAATTTTATCAGTACACTGGATTGCATTCGAAAAAAACATATTGAGGGTGGTTTCAGCTAGAGTCAGTGGATGGTATTAGTTAGATGAGAGTTCGGACACAGAAATTACAACTGTTAGGTATTTTTGAATATTTAGATTCATCAAGTTAGACATCTTGCATTCTGACAAGTATCATTGAATTACGTTTTCAATACCGACCGAACTATAGCTATCAGTATCATATGTGTCTATGTTATCATATTAAAATGTTGTTACATGCATTCTACTCATTTTTATACCTGTTGTCCTGCGAATAGTGCCGCTATAAATTGAAGTGGGTATTTATGCCCTATTTCTATTTTCCATCTACGACTATGATTGATTTTACAAAAAAATCTAACCTCTAAAATCGTATTTGACAATCAGGCGCTATTAGGGAAATTGAAAAGACAAAGAGCAGAATAAATCTCTTATTATTTTATTCACTCTAACCATTGTAATATAGAAAATGGAAATGGACAGAAGTTCAGCTGTGTCCAAACTCTTATCTAACTAATACCATTCACTGACTGTAGGTAATGCAGGTAAAAATATCAAAACGTTGACGTATGTCGGGAATTTTCAGAAAAACATACCTATCTCCCTGCTAGCGAATTTATTCCAGTTAAAGTCGCCACACTCTATATACACGGTGTTTCATTGGGAGAGGTAAATAATTCAACTGTGGATAGGGGTCACTGGGGTGATTTAAAAAACCCATGGTTAATAGGTCTTCGACTTCTTATAACCGAGATACAGGATGTTTCATCAATTTTGTCCATATCTTCATTGTCTCATAACTTTCCAACCAACCTGTATATATTTTCAAAAATTGGTACACTTGCTCAATCTACCCTGTGGAATTGATTGAGGCAACAACGAAAGACAAAATCCAGGTCCGGCTTCACTTAAAATTCACAAATTCTTTTTGCCAGAAAACAACACCCTATACATTCGAATTTCTCATTTTTTTGCCATGTCTGAAATGAACATCAAAATGTCTATTCAACGATGTGCTTTTTATTCGTGCACAGACGATTTTAACTATTCATATTATGTGCTCAGAATATTATTTTTGCTCATTTTGGGGTACAAAATTGGAATCAGACGAGATTTATTAATTTCATCACTTCCTATTCAGTATTCGTTTAAATTTAGAAGGAGTATTTTATATCGTTCTTTGTTCCAGACTTAGTTGCAGGTCCGTCATCAAAACTGTACAGGGCTTTTCACGATGAGCGTTAATTTGACGTTTTCGGCAAATCAGGCAACGGATGAATCTGAAATTTCGATGGTATGTATAAATTAACATAATCTACACTGCTGAGATATTTGAAACGATCCGGCCTTGCCGCTTCTACTAGAAAGTAGCAGCAACTTCGATTTTTCAAATGGGACACCCTGTATTTCATTACATTCTTGGATTCTCGCTGAACAGCAGAATTCATCGATTCAAAACATTCAAGGTCTAGCGGGACTGTTAACTGAGATATAGGATGTGGAAAATCGAGATGTTTCAACTTTAGAAATGTTTTGTGTTGAAACTATTTATTATTGCATGGTCAAAACGGCTTCAATGTCCCTATCTCAACTTTCCATTCGATATTCAATTGAAACAGATACAGGGTGGTGCAGAAATCTGAATTATGAACCATCCTGTATTCGTTTCGATTAAATGTCGATAGATACAAAGTTAAGATAGGGACATAAAAGCCGTTTTGATCAATAATAAATATTTTCGGAAAATAATTCTAAAGTTGAAACATCTCGATTTTTCTCACTCTAAATATCTCAGTTATTAGTCCCACTAGACCCCGAAATTTGTGAATCGATTAAATCAGCTCCTCAGGAAGCATCCAGGGTGTCCCATTTGAAAAATCAAAGTTACTGCTACTTTCGAGTAGAAGCGGCAACGCCGGATTTTTTCAAATATTTCAGAAGTGTAGATCATGTTAATTTATACATACCTTCGAATTTTTAGATTTATCCGTTGCCTGGTTTGCCAGAAACATCTAATTAACGCTTATCGTGAAAAGCCCTGTATAGTTTTGATGATCGACGTGCAACTAAGTCTGGAACAAAGAACGATACCAAATACTCCTTCTAAATGTGATACTCACGTATACTGAATAGGAAGTGATAAAATTAATAAATCTCGTCTGATTCCAATTTTGTACCCCAAAATGAGCAAAAATAATATTTTGAGCACATAATATGAATAGTTGAAATCGTCTGTGCACGAATAAAAAGCACATCGTTGAATAACAATTTTGATGTTCTTTTCAGATATGGCAAAAAAATGAGAAATTCGAATGTATAGGGTGTTGTTTTCTGGAAGAAAGAATTTGTGAATTTTAAGTGAAGCCGGACCTGGATTTTATCTTTTGTTGTTGCCTCAATCCATTCCACAGGGTAGATTGAGCAAGTGTACCAATTTTTAAAAATATATACAGGTTGGTTGGAAAGTTAGGAGACAATGAAGATATGGACAAAATTGATGAAACATCCTGTATCTCGGTTATAAGAAGTCGAAGACCCATCAACCATGGGTTTTTTGAAATCACCTCAGTGGCCCCTATCCACAGTTGAATTATTTACCTCTCCCAATGAAACACCCTGTATAACATCCAGTTTGTCAGATCAGGTAGCTAAGAGCGTCTGTGAACACATTGTATAAATATTGTACAATTTATGGTTGCTGATACAGAGGAACATGAAAAAATCGGCTCTCCGTGTTCCAGAAAAACCGCTCTGGCCATCGACACCATCATCAACCAGAAGCGTTTCAACGATGCCGAGGACGAGAAGAAGAAACTGTACTGCATCTACGTCGCCATCGGTCAGAAGAGGTCGACGGTGGCGCAGATCCTGAAAAGGCTCACCGACACCGGTGCCATGAAGTACACCATCATCGTGTCGGCTACCGCTTCGGACGCCGCCCCCCTGCAGTACCTGGCGCCCTATTCGGGGTGCGCCATGGGTGAGTTCTTCAGAGACAACGGCAAGCACGCTCTCATCATCTACGACGATTTGTCCAAGCAGGCTGTGGCCTACCGACAGGTGAGAGTTGATTGAGAAATGCAAGAATGTTGATTCCAGAAACGATTTTTTCTCGATGGGATCGTTGGACTGATTCGATCATTCACAGAGTTGCTGATGTTGCATGATTTGTTCATAATTCAATATGCATTCTAGTCATAAGTCTACGCATAAGGTTATAAATTCTGGTGTGTCAACAGCTGGTATACCAAAAGTGGTAACTGGCTTCAATTCAGGTACAATAATAATACCAACTTTACAATTGTTAATCAGCTCTACAAATACAATACTTGAACACATAATAATGTATTTTTAGAACCTTTATGTACTAAAATAAACATACACAATCACAGAAGCTGTAGGACAGCAAATGTATAGTATGCATCAGTATGGTATATTATTCTCAATATCCATTTTTGTAACACATTCAACCTATTCAAATGAGTGTCATTCACACCCCCCACACCCTATGATTCCATAGGTGAGTTGTGTTTGTACGAGAGAGTAGTATACTATTTTCAAGTGCTGTATATCTAGAAATTCCCTGAGAAATTTAATTCTTCCCAGAAGTCCTCTCTGATTTTTTCGCCAAGTTGGACATTTGCAGATCCCATCGCATGTCGGATCAATAATTATTCCCAGATATTTAACTGAATCTCCTTCTGGTATTGAAGTGTTCTGATCAATTTTCGAATTCCCTAATTGTGGTTAGTTATTTACATATGAATGAAAGATATTGGGTTTTTTCTATATTTAGAAGATATTATAGACAAACAAATCTATTAACTACGACTAATTTTACAAAGAGTAAACAAGAAAAATTCCTATCCTACAAATAGGGAAACATCTAACACGGATACATTCTATACCCATTAGTCCGTATCAACCCCAAATTAGTCTTATTTGCGTTTTTGTCCGAACGTCCCCCAAACGACAATAAAATATACAGCCCAAACACTGATTTTCAAGCTACTAAAAGATAGATCCTACCTTCAGTCGTTTCGGCTTCCTGGCTCGTGATATAGTAGAATGCTTCTTATCGCTGTGGTTCGTAGATACTTAACCAAATTATCAGCACTGACAGCAGCGTTGAGCGTTGTTGAGCTTTCACTTGCTCAGCTCACTCTGCCCGAAATGCCTTTCCTTTCGCTCTGGCCTTGTACCGATCGTTCCCCTTCCCGCACTTCACACTCATGTCTCGCGCATTCATCACACAACTTCCCATAGCAACAAGAGAATTGATGCACAAGATACATAATATAAGCATAGGCGTAGACAATATTAGAAATTGAATGAGATTATAATAAAGCATAATTAAAATATATTGAAAATTAATAGCGTGGTACATTAGCAAACTATTGATGTATATTGTGAATTTAACCGGACCAAGAACTGTTCCCTGAGGTGCTCCGTACGTCAGTTTCCTCGGTTGGCTGATGACACCGCTAATACTGACATGTTGACGATCTAATAGGTATTGATTGTATAATGCGTACTCGCTCCCTTCCAGATGTCACTGTTGCTGCGCCGTCCGCCCGGTCGTGAGGCCTACCCCGGGGACGTCTTCTACTTGCACTCGCGGCTGCTGGAGCGTGCCGCCAAGATGTCGGAGGCGCACGGCGGCGGCTCGCTCACCGCGCTGCCCGTCATCGAGACGCAGGCTGGAGACGTGTCCGCCTACATTCCGACCAACGTGATTTCCATCACCGACGGCCAGATCTTCTTGGAGACGGAGCTGTTCTACAAGGGCATCCGGCCGGCCATCAACGTGGGGCTGTCAGTGTCGCGGGTGGGGTCTGCCGCCCAGACCAAGGCCATGAAGCAGGTGAGGGGAAAGATATTTGTTTCCATGGTCCTTTACCATTTTGTAATAGAATTCCTTCAGCGAAAACGTGGCAGGAGAAGTATTGGCAGGTAACCTGTTCTCTCGCTTCAAAACTGTTACTTTCATGACTCGTAAATCAATATACATCCCCACCAACGTGATTTCTATCACCGACGACCAGATCTTCTTGGAGACGGAGCTGTTCTACAAGGGCATCCGACCGGCCATCAACGTCATTTTGTAATAGACCTTCAGCAAAAACGTGATTTCCCTTGCAACGGAGAGAAAGTCTAATAACATTAACTACCTTTTATAGTGAAGAAACTTGATAAGGTAACATTTTGTTACCTGTCAATTGAGATGAAATGCCAAATTTCTAACTTGTCACAGACAAAATATAATCATATGAACGGCGATGTAGAAGAAGTATCGGCTGGTAACCTGTTCTCTCGCTTCAAATTTGTTACTTTCGTCACTCGTAAATCAATATACATCCCCGCCAACGTGATTTCCATCACCGACGGCCAGATCTTCTTGGAGACGGAGCTGTTCTACAAGGACATCCGACCGGCCATCAACGTCATTTTGTAATAGAAAACCTTCAGCAAAAACGTGATTTCCCTTGCGGAGAGAAAGTCTCATAACGTTAACTTCCTTTTTTAGTGACGATAGTTAAATTGGTAACATTTTGTTACCTGTCAATAGAGATGAACTGCCAAAGTTCTAACTTGTCACAGAGAAAATATAATGATATGAACGGCGTGCTAGAAGAAGTATTGGCAGGTAACCTGTTCTCTCGCTTCAAAACTGTTACTTTCATGACTCGTGAATCAATATACATCCCCGCCAACGTGATTTCCATCACCGACGACCAGATCTTCTTGGAAACGAAGCTGTTCTACAAGGGCATCCGACCGGCCATTAACGTCATTTTGTAATAAATCTTCAGCAAAAACGTGATTTCCCTTGCAACGGAGAGAAAATCTAATAACATTAACTACCTTTCATAGTGACGAAACTTGATTAGGTAACATTTTGTTACCTGTCAACAGAGATGAAATGACAAACTTCTAACTTGTCACAGACAAGATATAATGATATGAACGGCGTTGTAAAAAAAGTATCGGCTGGTAAACTGTTTTCTCGCTTCAAAACTGTTACTTTCGTCACTTGTAAATCAATATACATCCCCACCAACGTGATTTCTATCACCGACGGCCAGATCTTCTTGGAGACGGATCTGTTCTACAAGGGCATCCGACCGGCCATCAACGTCATTTTGTAATAAACCTTCAGCAAAAACGTGATTTCCCTTGCAACGGAGAGAAAGTCTAATAACATTAACTACCTTTTATAGTGAAGAAACTTGATTAGGTAACATTTTGTTACCTGTCAATAGAGATGAAATGCCAAATTTCTAACTTGTCACAGACAAAATATAATCATATGAACGGCGATGTAGAAGAAGTATCGGCTGGTAACCTGTTCTCTCGCTTCAAATTTGTTACTTTCGTCACTCGTAAATCAATATACATCCCCGCCAACGTGATTTCCATCACCGACGGCCAGATCTTCTTGGAGACGGAGCTGTTCTACAAGGGCATCCGACCGGCCATCAACGTCATTTTGTAATAGAATACCTTCAGCAAAAACGTGATTTCCCTTGCGGAGAGAAAGTCTCATAACGTTAACTTCCTTTTATAGTGACGAAAGTTAAATTGGTAACATTTTGTTACCTGTCGATAGCTAAAAGTCAAAATGCCAAACTTCCAACCCGTCACAGGTAAAATATAATGATATGAATGGAGTAGTAGAAGAAGTATCGGCTGGTAACCTGTTCTTTCGCTTCAAAACTGTTACTTTCGTCACTCGTTAATCAATATACATCCCGAACAACGTGATTTCCATCACCGACGGCGAGATCTTTCCGTTTCTATAGCCCGCCCTTTACGAAAAGGCGTCGTTTTGCAACTGACAGATATTCTCATAACGATAACTTTCGTTCATAGTGATAAGTTGAATAGGTGAACTTTTTGTTACCTGTCAATAGCTAAAAGTCGAAATGCCAAACTTCCAACCCGTCACAGGTAAAATATAATGATATGAATGGCGTTTGGCGTTGTAGAAGAAGTATCAGCTGGTAAACTGTTCTCTCGCTTCGAAACTGTTACTTTCGTTATTCGTAAAACAATATACATCCCCAGTTCTTCCTGGAGAAGGAGCTGTTCTGCAAAGGCATCCGGCCGGCTATTGACGTGACGCTGAGCGTGTCGAGGGTGGGATGTGCCGCCCAGACCAAGGCCATGAAGCAGGTGTGGGGATGTTGTTATTTATTATAGGAGGGAGAAAAGTAGGTATTAGATTTGAGCTCGAGGTTGTGTTCAGATTGAATTCCAAAACCGATTTTTTTCGTGTCAATAAGTGAACGATGAACATTTCGAGCATGTTTGAGCATTTGTTACAATTCCTACTAGAAATTCTCTTGCAATTGTAAGTTATTTAGGTTTTTTATTCATCAATATTAATATTTGAAGCAAATTTCAAACGCTTATCATTTTGAAACGGCTTGACCGATTTGCACAAACAGAGCGGAGTTGGATAGAAAATCGAAAGGCCTTCAAAACAAGGTACCACGTGACCCCTCTTCATATCAAAAAAAAAGTTGACGGTGCCCACTTTTTGCCTGAATTTTACCTAACCTCGCTAGCTTGTTCCGTTCAAAGGTTAATTGGGGGGGGAAGGACTTTTTACGTCCTCACTGTATATACATGTAATAAATATTCAACGACAACATGTAGATTTGACTTGATTCAATTAATAATTAAATAATGTAGTTCCACAACCAGCCACTTTGGCGCTACGTTCCTAACTTCAGTTGCCTATAGTGAAACCGAACGAATATTCACATTCCCACCTTGTCCCGCTTCAGGTCGCCGGCTCCATGAAGCTGGAACTGGCCCAGTACCGTGAAGTGGCCGCTTTCGCGCAGTTCGGCTCCGACCTGGACGCCGCCACGCAGCAGCTGCTGAACCGCGGCGTGCGGCTCACCGAGCTGCTCAAGCAGGGCCAGTACGTGCCGATGGCCATCGAGCAGCAGGTCGCCATCATCTACTGCGGCGTGCGCGGCCATCTCGACAAGATCGATCCGTCGAAGATCACCGTTTTCGAGAAGCAGTTCTCCGAGCACATCAGGTCGGTTGGTTATTGATTAAAAGCTTTCATCTACTCGCTAGGCGTTTGCTTCCTCATTTGAGGAAACGAAGTTATCAATTTACTTCCACGGGAGGAAAAAAAATATTAACTCCCGTGGGAGGTAAAATAAATTGGCTTCAATATATCTATAAAATCTGTGCAATCCAAGTTATCAGTGTCTTCATCACTATTATAAAACAAATAACAATCCTGTTTGAATTCCAATGATATCATATGCTTCTTCATGTTTCAAACTCCTAATCAAAACACAAAGAATGATGCTATGAAAAATGCGTTCGTTGATAAAATTATATATATATCATGGGAGCAAAGGTACATTTCCTCCCATGTGTGTTTAACCCTCTCATTGCGGGAACCGGAAAACCCCGCAAAACGTGTGTACACCAAATACGCGGGAGACGGCTTTTCACGCACGTGTTTTTAAAGCATTCATTGCGGGAGCCCAGCGTTCAAGTGAATTTAAACAACTATGGCTCGAAAATATCTCAATGACGATCAAATTGAAGACTTGTTGTATGCTGAAAGAAACTTGATTCTGCTTTGCGCCTTGTGATGTTCCACTGTGTATTATAAAATGTTTTGAAAGGTATCACAGTGTCAAATTCTGTGCTGTGTGACACGACATAAGATCGCAGATAAGATATTGTGATAAGGGGCATGTGTATGTTATGAAATAATCACGGAAATAATATAACATGCAGATGCACATGCCGATTGATTGTTCGTGTATAGTAACCTCAAAATATATGTTTGGAAGGATATATTCAAAATTGAAGAATTGTATAGGTAATCAGTTCTCTTATTACAAAACATCTGTCTGCAGTTCTGCAAAAGTGGCGTGCTCAGCGTATTTGTTCGAAAAAATCGGAATGGAAAAATGTTGAGAAATTGTTTCGTGAATCGCTCCAAAGAAAAACACCCGTGGGCTAGGTACAAAATGAACACCTTTCTGGAACCTTGCATCATATAAGTGTGAACAAATTCCATAAGAATGAATAATGATCAGTTTATCTTTGTTCTGTACAAAATAAATAATAAAAAAGATGGAAAAATGCGAAAATGTATTTCACTAGAAATGAATTAGGTAGTCAATCCACATTTCATCTTCGTCAAAGCCTCTACTCAAGCGTTTCTGGGTGTTTGATTGCATACAAACAGGGATATTTCTGGTATTCGCTTCAATTTAAGTACCAACATAGGCTCAAAAGATGAAACCATTATACATATATTATTTGTGATTTATATTACATCAATTACCTTTTCAAAATACCAACAAAGTGACATTGACATAACCCCAAAAAATTCTTTCTCACTTTAAAACAAAACAAACAATTCGAGGTTAAATAACGGCATTATGCGCAAGCACTTCAACAGGAAATGAATGAAAAATAGGACATGTTTTATTTTTTATCCAATTTTGCATTCAGAATCTTTAGGCCTTTTCGGAAAACTACTCGGGTTGATATTGGTTGACTCGATCCTCAACCTGCACGTTCGTTAACCTAACCCGAGTTGCCTACCCGTGTTCGTAAACCTCCAGTGTTGGCTACTCGATCATTTACTCGGGTTTTTCTAGTTCATGAGAGTCTACAATGGCACCGCATGCGCATTACCAAATAAGAAAATTTGGTTATGTTGTTTTGTTTACCTTATTTGATTGAACCATTAACAACAAATTGTGATTTTATTTGGGTATTGTAAGGAAAAGTGCAATCTTCCAAACACTAACAGCATTCACCTTCGACAATTATGGTTTTAATGATGATGATGAGATTGAGGAGGAAATATCACATTTGATGTTGGCTTCTGGTGTAATAAATAAATACTCTCCAAAACGAAGACGTGTTTGTATTGAGAATTATGAAGATGTGATTTTACACTTCTCCAAGTAAAATGAACAGTTTACATAATTGTGTCACAAATTCATCATAAAAAAAAGATTTTACGTATTTCCAGTGTCATTGTCGCTTAGAGAGAACCACACTATTCGATACATTCTTGAGAATCCACATATTTTGCATCTACCTAGGATTTCCTCGCTCTGCATTTCTTTGGTTTTCAAATTTAAAGTAGTGTTCTCGGTACTGTGTTTTTATTTCAAAACAGGGTTGGAATAAGTCATGACTTTTATAAAAAAGTCAAAAAAGTCTGACTTTTTGAATTAATTCGGACTTTTTTGAATTAATTCATTTGAGAACAAATCAAATTCTATTTACTTGAACAAAATACAAGAACACCGAAAAAATCTAAGTTTTTATATCCGTTAAAAATCTCAAAGCATAACAATAAAATACTTAAAATATGCAATTTTCGCAATACAAACTGAGACAATTGATTGAATGAAAAATGATGTTTATGAAACTTATATTACTCATTCGCAATCTCCATTATAAAGGCGCTTTACAGTGTTATTTTCAAAAAAAATTCAGCTATTCCCATGGCGCGCCTACGGATTAGTATCACCTTGTGAAGCAACTTTTCGTTGCATTGCAAGAAATGAGTCCGGTAATTTGTATTACTGGTGCAATTCTTATGGTGACATGTTAGATTTTCGGAATTTCATGCATTATTAGATGCACATTGGATTTTACTTTTCTTTCCTTTCTCATGGTTTCTTCTACCCAACTCTTGACCCAAGTCAAAACTGGGTGAGAAGTAATGCACAGAATCTATGACAAAAAGACATTGCAAGCCGGTAATTCCGATTCAGTATTGAATAGCCTTCATATCATTTTTTCCGGAAATATGAATTGGAGCAATCAATTGCATGCAACGAAATATTGTAAACTGTAAAGCGGCTCTTAGAAAATCTAGTTTTCTGCGTGTCAGATGCCATCGGTTATTCAATTTCAAACTAGTTTAAATTGAAGGTAATAATGAGATTTGATCCCATTTGATAAATATTGAATTAATTCACGACTTATTTGAAAAAAGTCATTTGATTTAATTCACGAATTAAATCATTGACTTAATTCATATGAATTAATTCGTGCCAGCCCTGTTTCAAAAGATGCGACTCAGGTCCGTAACCCAATACGTTCGTGAACTATCTGGGTAGGTGATCCGAGTCAGATTGCAGTAATACGTCACGTGAACTCTCTGGATGGAGTTAGCGACCCAGAGTAAGTTTCCGAAAACGCCTTTTGTTTCCGTAATACACGGTGCAATAATAGTATATTACACACCAAGGTGGGAAGTGATTCATTCCTGTCGTGAGATTAGTTAATTTACCGAGACGCAAATCGTCGAGGTTAGCTATAATTTCGAGACAGGAATGAAACTTCCTACCGAGGTTTGTATATCATATTTTGATCAAAATTAATAAATCTATGTTTCATTCCGAAAATACCTGAATTATTACATGAGTGAGGGGCGGGAAGTGAGGGCGGGAAGTAGAGGTGTGTAATGTGACACTTTTCAACCTTCAATGACGTTAGTAATGACAACATCACATATATGGTTGTACATTAATTCTAAATACGAATTCTCATTCAGAAAATTGATGAAAATCTGGCCCCTGTCATAAGAACTTTGGTTCTGGTGGAATTTTTGAACTCAAAGATATCTCCAACCGATTGAGCAGAAGATTGGTATTCACGTTTAGTTTGGATGACAATGTACGATTAGGTGTGTGAAGTTACTCTAAATCCAATATGGCGGACCATCCCAGAATTCCCAGATGAACTAGTCAGACGCATTCTTGCAAATAATGTCATTGTCTTTATTGATCTATTTTTGTATATTTTTTGAAGTTCTGTGACCTCTCAAGTAACCTTTGTTTATACACTGTTTAGTCATATATTTCTTTCTACAATGCGTTCGCCAATCAATGAATAGATAAATAAATTACTAACTTTCTTCCACAGGGCTAGCCATCAAACTATTTTGCAAAGCATCGCCAAGGAGGGTAAGATCACAGACGAAACTGATGCCCAACTCAAGAAAGTCGTACAAGACTTCATTGCCAACTTCGCTGGTTAAATGAATTTGTATTAACTCTGTTGTAATGTAATCTATATATTATTATTTTTTGTTATTATCCTCATAAAGTTTTTCAAATGGATAATCTTTCAGTGAAAGTACCATTTCAGTCATTTGTCAAAATTCCAATAATTATCATTATTAGATTAGGTGGAAGCAGAAATAAATATTTCTTTTTACAACAATCAATATACCTGTGCTTTTACAGCATTTTTTATTATTCCTCTACTTAGTGTTAATAAAATGTATTTAAAATATCTGTTATTATATCATCAGGTCCTTACCAACGATTAAGATGGCTACAATGAAAAGTCACTCAACAAAAGAATATATAACTATTTTAGTCTTATAATTGATTCCTCTGTTCCACTCTATGAAGGCGAATGGAATTGAGATGGCAGCAGCGTAGGGCCGTTACTGAAGAATAAATATATATAGGGAGTTTGGTTCACCGGCGTATATCCAGAAGGAGGTGATAGGTTATGTGATTTTGAACATATTGAATCATACATACTATTATTCAAAGTTTTACACTTTTTAAGACATCATCGCTTATAAATTCGAAGTTGGGTGTTAAAAAAAATCGTTTTCTCTGTGACGGAAAAATTATGACATTTCATATCTGTTGACGGGTTATAAAATGTCAGTTTTCATCCTTATTTTTTTTCTCCGGATATATATGTACATTGTTGATGGCTTTTGTTGTGCTAGTTCCGAAAGATAAGCCAATAACAGCGAGAAAAAAGTCCTTCTATCTTCCATTCCATTTCGCGGTTACATTAATTACTAAACAACCACTTAGACTTCTCAATGTTGTAACCCTTTAGTGCCTGACGGTACTTTTGAGTCTTTTCCATTTCTGTCTTCGTTTTAAAATACATCATATTGCTTGGCGCAGTTTCAGTCCTGACGGTAAGCTTGAGTACACTCATGTGATCCTAGCCACTCAAGATAATGCTGAAACGAAAATTATTTCCTTATTTTGAACCCGTTCAGATACCCAAAATGTGCTCTGAAGTCACAATATAAACTTCTAAAAATGAATTAAAACCAGTATATGGGTACTCGAACATTCAACAGAAATCAGATTTGTGATGGCTAACAAAGCTCGTTTAGAATTTCTTCTGTACTGTCATTTCGTTTGGCTTCAAGAGCGCATAACTTTTATTAACAGGCATAACGTGCCTTGGATCAAAGGATATTTCTTGTTCAGCATGATTTAATCTATCTAATCCTTGATTTTTACATTTATCCAAGATTTGAATGTAAATGGTGCAGGGTCTTAATTCTCTGTTATGTATTTGAATTGATTTTTTCAGTACTGAAATGATGCCGGAAGTCATTTTACATTACTTATCTGTACAAAGTTCCTCTAAAAAGTTTTGTCGAAGTTACAATAATTATTAGAAGAAATAAAAAAACATCAAGAACTAAAAATTTCAATAGAACGTTTAAATTCGAGAAACATGTGTAAAATTAGAATACAAAAAACTTTCCTCAGTAAACTTTTTTGAAATTCCAACATAAAAGCCTATTTTCAGTAATTAATTTGAAACCATGTAACTTTTGACATATATGTAGGGAGAGTCATGACCGAGTAGGCCACTTTCCATATTTTTTGAAGCAAAACAACGCCCAAGTCAAATGTCAAAATAAATTATTATGAATAGTTTTTCCCATATGATGCCAACTTTATGAATCAGAGATATATCGAAGACTGCAACCTTCGGCACGATAATATACTACACACTGTTTTACCACTAACCAAACTGATTTTTTATACCTCGACACGTGTTTCGCTGACTATGTTAGCATCTTCAGGAGAAGATTAGAACTGAATGCTCTATCCTGGTGGGCTACTTATATACTCAGAAATATGTCCACCTAACCGTGAATAGACAATAAACGCCAAGTTTATGTTATTCATGATTGAGTTATCACATATGTAATATTACTAAACTATACAGAGGGCTAAATGGGATAGGTCCATTATCCTTAGTCATTATTATTCTTAAATATCTCTAAGCTTTCATATGCATCAATTCTCTAACATTATTAACTTGCTTAACTAATTTGAGGTAATTAATATGTGTGTTATGATTGTGATTGAACTTGTGTTCAGCTACACACACGATTTATCTAACCTACCTTACCTACCATATTTCAAATGTGCTAAGTGTTCTTTGAACCTTGTTTTTATGGGACGCCTGGTTTGGCCTATATATGTTTCATCACAATCATTACTAATTTCATATAACCAGTGTGTAATGTTTACAAATCAGTATATGTTCAGAGATTATACATTTCTGCGATAGTATGTTCAAAATGTTCTCACCTATCACCCCCTTCCAGATATACGTCGGTGAACCGAACACTCTGTATACTCTTGTACTTTTTTGGTGTGTATACACATCACAAGATCTCTTGCCCGTGAATTCTATGTAGGCTGTTACTGACATCATACATCTCAGCAGCATTGTTAATTTAGACGCAACATGGACTTGTACAAAAGCGTCTCTGGCCGATGCTATGAAATAGGGCCCTGGCGTTGATTGATATATTACGCTTACGCTGGGAAGATGCCCAACCTTATGGGGCAAAACGAGGTCCAAAAAAATCTCACAACTAGATGGCGTACCATAGTTCGAAATCTCACATAGTGGCGGCGATAGTGTCGAACGATGTCAGAGCAATACTATGGCAATACTTCATAATTTGACTGGCAGGTGCGCCATTTACGAAGAGAATCTATTGGAATGCAGATGGCGTGCGACTTGGAACAATTAAACAATCCATAATCCAGAACGCTTGTATCGAATCCACGATCAGTCAGTACGATTCTAACTAATATGGCGGTAAATTCGAATTTGTTAGTAATAGTTGTACTGGATGTGCTCCTAACGAGCGCATCACGGACGTGAGATCATGAAAAAAGTTTATAGAAATCGAATTGACGTGAATCACAAAATTTAATGTCTCAACAAGTCAACAATAAATGCTTCCATTTTTGGCGATTGTGGAATAAACTGGTCAGCGGATATCAATATAAGCTGCTCATAAATTTGATTGAAATTCACGAACCCGGACCAGTGTTGTCACCTTAGTGTATTGCACCCTAGAACTGAATCTAAATGGGTCTGTTTGAGTGGAATTTCATATTTCATTATGTCGAATTACTAATGCAAACTATAATTAACTGTCGCAAATCATTTTCTTGTCAGAGCTATGTACAATTTTTGAAATTTTTGTTATTGAAATTACTGATATTTATCACATGAAAAACGCGGAACATTGCGTGACAATTCTATACCGCTATCAATCCAAAGTATTTCATACTGGTATATGATCCGACCTATGTATTGCCGAAACTTGGAGTGCCAATAATGATTTCCTTTGACTTTTGTGGGGCGGCCGACTCGGTGCGTTTGTCGGCGATAGGGCTGCCAAGCCGTCGTTTGTCGCCCTAACAACACAAGTACATCCTAGGGACTTCCCATCAGGGACGTCCCTAATTTTATACAAGGACATCCCAGAGATATCCTTTGTCGGGACAGAGTACATACTAGGAACGTCCCAGGGACATCAGCTGGCTGACAAAAAAGCATCCAAGGGATTTCCGTCTGGTACGTCCCTGGGATATGAACCAAGAACGAAGAAAGGATATCCCTAGGAGGTCGCAAGGATATTCCAGGGACATCCCTTTGACAAAAGAAAAAAAATGTTGGTCGAGTAGGGTTTGAACCCGGGACCTTTAGCTTTTCAGGCACGCACCTTACTCCATTGGCTGATATGCCTTCTGAAGATTTATGTACCAAACAGATTTTTAAACAGGACTAAACTGCAGAAACCTGAATAAATACAACTTTGTTAGGATTTGGGTATGATTATTATTATCATTCGTGGATGTTTAAAAATGAGGGGCATTATGCATTTACGATTTCTGTTTGCGAAAAATGGTCATTTCTTGAGAAGTTCTGAGACAATTTTCTTCATTTTCATTACAAATGTTTACCGAAAAAAAAACAAACATTTTCATAAAAATTCAACTCAATATTTTGATGAAAGTCAATGACTCTGATGTGAATAGATATCAGATATTCCAGGGACACGAATAGGATAACCTATGGATGTACCCGGCCGGATGACCACTGGGCAACCACTGCGGGACATCCCCTGGATACCTCAATTATGTCCTTGTACCGTGTGACAAAAAGGGTACGTATACCTAGAACATTCCTGTGTTGTTAGGGTATGGAGATTCTGAGCGTTCCGTAGTCTGTACTCCGTTGTTCTGGAGCGGCAAAATCGATTCTACTCAGAAAAAGTTAGTGGTATCACAAAATATCAACGCCGATTTCATGATTATATATCGTTGCATATATAGACTGGAAATGTAGCTGTTATTTCTGTTGAATTTGTTTTTATCTCTTCAAAGATACCATAAAAGAATTCATATTTTTCAACAACTAGATACTGTAAAAGATGTTTCATAAGCTTGCAGCTTCAACTCTTGTAATCCAATAAATAAATGAATTCTATATATGTTCCAATAGTTATGACTCACTCTGTATATTATGCCTATTATAGATGATGTATTTTTTTTCATTTTTATAGTGAACCATTAACAATCAAAGATTCAAAGATATCTGACTATTTATTTTCTATCTACTGATGAGACTCCAAGAAATTATCACATTCAGATTGATTATATTATCAATATTTTGTAATGTATTAATCTCGGTATTAATACAAAACTTTAATATGGATACAAATTGAGTGAAAAAAATAATCAACAAAAAGGCGTGAGATGTTTTTCCAGATATACATATCTATTGGTCTAGGCAAAGTATGACAAGTTATTCACAAGGGAATTTAAAAAAACGCCACGGAGTAGGAACCCAACTGAGTGAGAGATCATAATATGTTGTTCTCTCTTCCGCAAGGAACCGAGGAAAAAATCAATACTCGCAACCCGTTGTTATTGTTGCGGATTGCGGATTCCCCATATACGTCCATGGGATTCACCGACCGTAGCAAACATTTTTTTATCGGAACCGGTCGGGCGGGTCGGGTCTCATCTCATCGTAGAAGACAAGGATAAACAAACATTTCTGGAGCGATAGCACGCGGTGGGATGGGATCTGTAATTCTGTACAAAAGTGTAGTAATCTGTACAATTAGTTCAGACATGTTCTGTGTGCCTAGTGGAGTCGCTACCTCACAGTGGCTAAACGATAGACGAGGGGATGAGAGGGGCATCGACTCGCAAATAACACAGGTTGGGCATCTTCCCAGCGTAAGCGTAATATATCAATCAACGGCCCTGGGTGGGCCAGGTAGCCGTGCGGACAGAGTGTCTATATTCTAATTCGCATTCGCTTGCCGGTCGTGGGTTCGATTCCTATCGACAGCAGAAATTTTTCTGATGGCCCAAGAAAGTGTTTGGGATCACACGTTAAAAGGTAATGCCCCCGTCATTACTTGCTCGCACAAGACTTTCGAAGACTTCTGAGGGTTGCTCGTAAGGGGGCAACCGAATGACGGATAGAACAATTTTAGAACAACAACAACTCTTTTTATAAATGAAAAACATCTGCTTCACCAGGGACCCGAACTCACGATCTTCGGCTCCCACTGTGCAAGACCTGTTCTCCGTTAGCGCAATTGCATACAATAACAATCATTAATTTTGAAATTATTTTCTTGGTATCATTATTATCGCTTATAGAAGAAGAATTTCTAAATAAAAATAAGATTATCACTGAATTTTGTTGAAACGCTATACAGGGTGTCTGTAAAAGGTCTTTACAAATACATATTACATATTCTCTAGACCAAAATAAGTCGATTTAAGTAAAATTACCTCAGTACAGAGTTGCATCGTTTGGGCTCCAGAGGGCCTTGAAGTTGCAATTTTTAAATCGTTTTTCCCATATAAATTTAAAACGGCATATGCGATTTTGCTGAAATTTGGTATATTGATAAAGGTTTATGTGAAAAAAAAAATGGTGTTAAAATTCTGTCCGATAATAATACATAGGCGTAGAACTTGATTTTTTGAATAATTGCACCTTTGAAAATTCTACTCTGCTCTGAGTTTTTATTTTTTTGAAAGGAGAGCATATAAGTAGTTTTTTTCAAATTTATCTGCAGCTTGTTTTTTATCAACCATCCTTGGTATTTCTCCAAGTCATTGTTCACCAATATTTCCAGTTGAAATCATCTATGGTTCACATTAGTTTTTTGTTTATGAGTATTGGTCATTACAACAAAACAAACCACTCAGAAGTGTTCAAGTTGTAGCCGTCAGGTGAGGCGACGTATTATTTTCTATCAGGAATAGGTGAAGACTCAACTTCTACATAATGATATTATGTGTGATGATACAGATCCAGAGGCAAAATCATCAAGAAATTATAAATATTTAATATTAAGTGCTTTAATATAAAATTAAATACAATATAGGATTATGCAGTTTGTTTCTGTTCCTTTCTAGTAGCCTCAATAGCAGCTTCAGACTTCTCAAGTTCAGTGATAAGTTCTTCAACCTCTTTGTTACTTAAAATATTGATGATAGTTTTACCATTTTTTCTAGTTAAAGTAGCCATTTCAACTGGAATAGTCATAAAAAAGTGAAGTTATAAAAATGCAAATTCAAAGGCATATTGATTATTACCTTTTTCTGAAGTAAGTTTTGCCATATCCAATGTCTTTACTAGAACTTTGACAGCTAGAGCCTTGGCATCTGCAAGTGTCATTTCTCCTTCTTTGTACTCTTGTTTCAAACTTGATATTGCAGCCTGCAAACACAAAATACCTTCAATCACAGAAAACGCAAATCCTCATGAGCAGTAATCCAATAAATGCTTTCAATTCTATAAAAAATTACTTTGAACATTCCCAGAAACAATTTGTTTCCACTCAATGGGCGTTGATAAGTTCAAGTTGAATATTATTTTGGAATATACTCTTGTCAAAAAAACCTGCCGGACTCAACATCTATACAGTGCTTCAAAATTTCTTAAAATCTGCACATGAGCTAAATTTGACCTTACAGGCTTTACAGAGTGATCAAATTACAATGATTCACACATTAAATCTAGTAGGATGTTTCAATAGCTAGAATCATATTATGTTCCTTGACCATTGTGGGTACTTAGGATAGTAAGGGAGATGGGGTACAGATGTTAAATTATTTGAATTCTTGGTGGTTTCATGAGTAGTTTTCTTTCTCAAAACAGATTAACTTTCATCATTAAATTTGAAAAAAAAAAAACAAATGATGTGTTGTATTTTTTCATGGAAATATCAACTTTACATTTTCCAATGATGCCACTATAATGGAGAAGATAAATCTAATTACATGGAGTTATGTAAACTTCAAAATGCTCAAAAAAAAGTTATACTTACCGAACTGTTATTCCCAATGCAAGTAGCTTTCCAACCACTGTAATTTCCACTTGGATCAGACTGATACAGCTGATAACCATAATGCTTATCCCAACCCATGTATAAGATAGATACACCAAAAGGTCTTTTGCCTGAAATATTCAAAGATTAGTGGAAAACACTCAAATAGTAAAAGACCAATCTGTTTATTACCTCCATACTGTGTGTAAGCTTGTTTAACATCACATAACCATGACACTAACTGTTCACAAGGAATGGACTGTCCATACTGGAATAGATAGCGCTGACCTATCAATCTCAATTCATTTGTTAAAACATTGGCATCAGAGGTAATTCCTGCTACACTGCATACCATGTCTCTGAAATAAGACAAAAAGTTGAAGTCTAAAAGTGGCCTATCAAATTTAATGTTCAGTTGAAGTGGAAATTTTAAAATCACAAAAATAACCAAATTTAGGAGACTTAATTAGGCAATCCAACTTAGGTTAGAACCAATATAGTAGGTTGGCAACCTAGGTATATATAATGGAAAGAATTATGTGATTAGAACAATCAAATAGATACTTTTTATGATATTCTTTGATTATATGACTTGTACTTCTGAAACCAACAGCAGTTCTTGTGAGGTTTAATATATCTTTGGTAAGCAGATTTAATGTCGAATACATATCTTTCTTTTTAATGTGAACTGAAGTGATTGTGAACATACTCATTGAGTTTGTAAATTTTTTCTGAAGTGAACACTTCATCTAGCAGCTTGTTTGTATTGCGCCTCTCAGCAGCTAGCAAGATTCCATCATTGGCAAGAATACCAAGACAAGTTCCAGCATGTGATATTGCTTCCATGGCATATTCTACTTGATACAATCTACCTATAACATACAAAATGACAACTGTTAGCAAATATTTGTAGAACATGTCTTTGAACCTATTCTACATGTTATTATAGATGAAAACTTGATTCATACCTACAATGTTTTACCAAATCATTTGTATAGTTGTTCTATTTTGAATCAGAATAACAAATATGTGTTCAACTAATTCAACTTTATCAGAGAATGAAAATGTGTTGCATTTACCTTCAGGAGAGAAGATTGTTGTTCTGGTATCATACCGACGAGCCTAAAAACAATTATATATCAAGAAAACATATCTTCCGGTATACAACTTCTCGAAAATATTTGGATATCCAAATCATGAAATCAATCATGACTCTGCAACTAGGTATATCAAACATAACCTGTTTTGTTCTTCATATCGTTTTCTTCATAAAATATCTCACGCTTAAATAATCGGCATCTTACCATTGTTAATATTCACTTGATGAACAGTCCTAATGTCCTAATTATTATTATATTTGGAACTTTTTTAACTTTGTATCCCTAGAAAAAGCAAATTCACTATTCATCAATATAAATTCACCACTCACCACAACTGACAAATGAACATGTCAAACTGTCAAATCAAATATCATGACATGACAATAATTCTGTCAGTGTCACTGGAACGTCAACCGATCGCAAAAAGGGTTGCCAAACTTATTTGTACTAAGGATTTCTACCTGACAACAGTGAGTCTCAGTGACAACCTATAAGATCAATATGGATCAATATAATATGACCAATTTCTTATGACTCATCAACTATGCACTATGCCATGCCTATGCCGATATGATTAGCTCTGTCAATTAACTCTAATCTTATCGTTGCTATGACGAATCGACGGATGGTAGGTAGCATTATCTGCTAAATATGGATATTTTTTTATCGCTTGGAGCGCACGAAAGGAAATCCCTATGATGTTCAAAGAACATCGTGCGTTCCTATAGGGAGGATAGGGACAGGAGGTAGGTATTGGATTTTTTTTAACTTCGGGAGATTATATGTTGTTGGGAATACTTCCTCAGGCAATGTAGGTAGCATAATCATATGAAAGCATTCTCTGGTGTCATATGCACACTTTTCTTTTTAAAAAGTCATTATAATCACTTTTTTCTCATTATATTGACTTTTTTCTCATTACAATTAATGGCATTTTTCTCATTACAATGACTTTTTTCTCATTATAATGATTTTTTTCTAATTATAATGACTTTTTCCCTTTATAATCCCAGTAAACACAACGAGTTTCAGAAACATTTAGTGTCATCTGAAACATTTGAAGCTCTCTATGTTATTTGAAATATTTCAGAAATATGTCAAAATACATATACTTACGTTTCATATTCGTTTAAAAAAATTCGCTGATTGAAATGTCTCACGTGAATCTCTGGATGTGTCATCTGAAACATTTCAACGTTGACATAAAGGCCATAGCCAGAGAAAAAAAGAATATTAAATGCTATGTTTTTTTATTATGGTCTAATAAGTTTTTTCATAGTATAAAATCCACTAAAACTGCATTTTTATTTTATTCACCCTGCTTTTTTTTTTCATATACCTATATTAATACCAATTGACTACATTACACACGATGTTAATTTAGGTTTCACTTTCATTATGAGTAAGTGTGATCTCAATTAACTGCTGTGATAATGTAGACTTGGTATGAACTAAAAATGGTTTCATATTTGATATGTTCCAGTATCAGCAAAAGTGAGATGTATCGGGAATGTTTTAAAAAAAGTCATGTTGGAAATGTTGCAAAAATAGTGCAATAAGGAAATGTTTCAAAGACAGTATTTGTGATACGTTTCATGAAATGCAATAGTGAAATATCTCACCAATGTTTATGCATATTGTTTATTTAATATTTCATGGAGATTTGGGTTGAAATATTCCAATGAAACATTACACGCGTCCCTAGGTCATTTATGGTCTCTAGGATGTCTCATATACAGGCTGATTCACGGTGGATGGCACGTTAGACGTTTATGGAGAACGGGACATAGGATCATCCTGAAATTTTGGTTACTCACGTAGTTGCTCTTGGTCTATCGATCTAAAATATTTTCAGCTCTGCAGCGTTGCCGCTTCTATCGAAAAGTAGCAACAACTTTGTTATTTTAAATGGAACACCCTGTATTTTATTGCATTTTTAGATTCTCTCTCAAGAGCTGATTTCATCGATGTATCACACTTGGGGTCTAGCGGAAATGATTACAGAGATATAGGGTGTGGAAAATCGACATTTTTCAACTTAAGGAATTTTTTTTGTCGAAACTATTCATTATTGGTCAAAACGGCTCACATGTCCCTATCTCAACTTTTGATCAACTATCTACTGACATTTAATTGAAACAAATACAGGGTCGTGCAGAATTCAGAATCTTGATCACCCGGTATATGTCCCAATTGTATATCAGTAGATAGTTAATCAGAAGTTGAGATAGGGACATATGTGTACAGGGTGATTCACCGTAAATGTCCCCCCCTCTAGCTCAATTATTTTTGAACCGATTTCAAAATTTGAAATATCATCTTGAATGATTTTTGATTGAGTTTTTTTCCGCTACATCAGAAAATACAGGGTGCTCAGAACAAACGATCTACAGGGTACCATTTGATTTTTTTATATGGAACACCCTATTTTTCATTGTACTTTTAGATTCTCCCTGAAAAGCTGATTTGCTCAATGTATCACACTTGGGGTCTATCGGGAATGATTACAGAGATATAGGGTGTTCAAAATCGAGATTTTTCAACTTTAGGATTTTTTTGAGACGAAACTATTCATCATCGGTCAAAACGGCTTTCATGTCCATATCTCAACTTTTGATTTACTATCTACTGACATTTAATAATTGGAACAGATACAGGGTGATCAGAATTCTGAATCTTGAACCACCCTGTAAATGTTCCAATCAAATCTCAATAGACAGTTAATCAAAAATTAAGATGGAAACATAGGAGCCGTTTCGACCAATAATGAATAGTTTCGACAAAAAAATTCCTAAAGTTGAAAAATGACGATTTTTCACACCCTATATCTCTGTAATCATTTCCGCTAGACCCCAAGTCTGATACATTGATGAAATCAGCTCTTCAGAGAGAATCTGGAAATGCAATAAAATACAGGGTGTTCCATTTAAAATAACAAAGTTGTTGCTACTTTTCGATAGAAGCGGCAACGCCGCAGAGCTGAAAATATTTTAGATCGATAGACCAAGAGCAACTACAAGGGTTACCAAAATTTCAGAATGATCCTATGTCCCGTTCTCCATAAACGTCTAACGTGCCATCCACCGTGAATCAGCCTGTACATACATGTTTCGGAGTATATAGGTGGAATGTTTCATATTTCACAGAGTTTGTTTCAGGCACGTTTCAGAAACACAAAATGGTTTACTGGGATGACTTCTTTTTCATTATATTGATTTTTTCCCAAAATAATGACTTTTTTTTCAATATATTGACTGTTTTTCTCATTATTATAATGACTATTTTTCCCAATATAATGACTTTTTTCTCATTATAATAACTTTTTTCTCATTATAATGTCTTTTTTCTCATTATAATGAGTTTCTTTCTTGTTGAAAAAAGTCATAATGAGGTAAGTTTTCACCAAATTTTGTGAGATCTTTTTTGTGTGAAAGATGAAAACAAAAAACCAAAAACTTGACAATACAAAAGTTATTAATCTCTTTATTATAGCAACAACTTTGCCTGTAATTTTTTTCCATAGAGTTTGTATTTTTGCCGGAAATCGGGATAATTCGTTTTTTATACCCCTAAAAGTTCACTCCCTTCCATTTCCCGACCTCAGATCGCTCGTAAATTGTTTTCTCATTTTTGTTATATATTCCTTTTTCTACAAACGTCAGTAAAAGTATAATTTTTGACGCATGCTGTCAGTGTATAAAATGTCAGTTTATGACACTGGTGTTAAAAGTATAAATCACTTTTAGCACTACCTAGTGCTAAAAGTTATTTATTTTTATGAGAAAATATGTAAACATAATTCAAAATGAAGTGTTTATTCAATTAAAAGTACAATTAGGAAACTACAATTATAATACGAAACTCCATGGCCAGTCTCATTGGTAGATGTGACAGAATTTATTTTCGTGAAGCTTGTACCAGGGCAGAGAGCAATATTGTCTGCTGAAGTTTTCGACAAAATTTGATCTGCAATGTTCTGTTTCCTTTGTAGCGAGTCTTCAATATAACCCTCTGCTACTGTACTGGACTTCCATCCACCATGTCTTTTGATTGTAGTAAGACTAGCACCAGAGTCCGCCATCCGCCAACAAACTAGCTATGAGGAACGTCGGAAACAATGTCCAGTATATAGATGGCCTCCTTCCAACTGACAACTCCTATGAAAACTCGTACTGTCGCTTTGACTTCATCATCATCATCATCTTTATTATTCCCAAGAAACAATTGACGTATATGTTTATAATAGGGAACATTGAAAAAATAAACCATATGTATCACATTACATTCAAAATATAGTATTTATATGTAGGTATAATAATTATTCTAGTAATTCTCATAGTTTGAGCAGATCCTTGTTTGGGTGAATGAATGATTAAAATAATTGATATGTTATATGATCTCAATAGGCAATAATTCAAAAACAGATTTATTGGCAGCTTCCACAATTTGCGGCGAAAGAATAGTAGATTGTTTTATTAGGATCAAAAGTTACACTTTGTTTGACGAGCGAATTTTGCATTTGCGAGGCGGAGCGTTTAGCGAAGCCGAGCGAAAGCAAAATTTGCGAGTCTAACAAAGTCACTTTTGATCCGAATGAAACATGCTATTTTTTCTGCAACCGAAACAATTAACTCAAATAAACATGTGAAGTAACCACCTATGCCGTGCCATATGTATGCAATGCAACAAATATTGACAAATATAATCCATGTGGTGAGAATATTCTACCTGCATTAACAGCAGCTAGGTTAGGTTTTCTAGGATGTTCGAATTGTAGTTTCAATATAAATACAACCACAAAGTGACATATTTGTGTATGGACCATCAGGTGCTCTAATGACAAATACCGAGCCAGTGCCAGCTATAGGAACAAGACGTGAAAAATATTAGGTTAGTGAGCATATCAACAATGATAATAGTGATTATTTATTCCTCTCCATACTACACTGTGTTTGACTTGATAATCAAATGAAGGTAAACAATATCGTTGTTTGAGACAAAAAAACTATTGCCTGCCGTGATCATTCAAAAACAAGTTATTCATCCTGAGAATAACGAATGAAACACAGATCAAGCAAGTATTTGAATCTTGAAGGCTTCCCTGATCAAAACAAAAATACTTAATTGAGATGTTCATTATTCGCCAATACTAAACTATAATAAGGTGTATTTATATCTCCAGCATCGGTATGAAATGCCAAATCTGCTGAAATCGGAAACAAATCAGGTATGCGTCTCAACCCAAATAACAAACCGTCACAATGTTGTTTATTCTTGATGACGTCCAGTAGATCCTTTTTAGTTCCTAGGAGCTAAAGTTCAACTTTAGCTCCTAGGAACTAAAATTCAACTTTAGCTCCTAGGAACTAAATATGTTGCCTAGCAACATATCTATTTTTGTGTCAGTAATAGAAACGTCAATTTAAGAGCTAATTTTGGTATTAAAATGGACGACTTTTGTGTCGGTTGCAGAAAAATTCATTTTCTTGGGCATTTATTTCCATCGAGGAATGAAGAAACGAGAAAGAATAATTCGTGATTTTTATTGACGTTAGTTGTCAAAAAAGATAAATCAACGAATTCAGTTTTTGTTTACCTTGATAACTTGTTTCATGAATAGATTAGATTGAATTGGATTCAAAACTGATAATCTCGAGGCTGTTATTTAAACAATCAATAATAAGTAATGTAAAATAGTTATGCGTTAATTTGGACTTTTGATGGTGTTGGTAGAAAAAATAGTGTATGATATACCTATGTGCTAAAAGTGTTTTTTCTTTTGTTCGAACTTCCCTTCTCACGAAATAAAATGTCACTTTTAGCACTTATATCATAAATAACTATTTCCAATGGCTTTCATCCTACGATATTTTTTCCATTTTTTGTCATTTTCAAAGTCTTCAGAACTGGTCCATACTCCATACCTCTAGAAGAAGCTTTCAGTAGCATAATGATACTGAAACCTAAAACCAAGTGTAGGTAGGATGGTACTGAAACCAAAGGTATAGGTAGCTATAGATATACCTCAGAGATCCATCAAATTTCAAATTAGTTTTTGAATAATCTGATATTGAAAATACCCTCGTTGAGTTGATTTTTAGAATAGGTAGGTATATCATATCTGTGTTTGAGATTATTGGATTTATCTTATCGAATTAGATAAAATATTATAATTTTCAGATCGATTGTTAGATTTTCAGAAATATCATTTCTTTCATCATTCAGTACAGTTTTGAATGTAATTTATGATCTATGTACAACGAAATGATACGTTTTCCTACATTTTTAATAATTATTCTCACATGTAAGTTTGTTTTTATATCATAGAATACATTAAGTTCAACCCAAGTAAAAATCATAGAGGGTGTCCGTAAAAATGTGGGAGATCTCTCGGATTCAGATATAATTCGAAAAGATAGGATGATAATGAGTTCCTATAAATTTGTTTTCAACTGGCCCGGAGACATATGCTGGACCTTTGCTGGACCCCTCTGAATATAACGCCGCTGGGAATCGGTTTTTCTTGAATAACTTTTGAAAAAATTGATGTACCTATGGGTAATCAAATGAAAATCTGGATCAAAAATAAATGAGGGACTATATAAAGAGTGATTCAAAATTGGATTTAAATATTCCAGGGACTTATTGTTGGGATCAAAATGAGAATTTGTCTTCATATAAACGTGTTTCCTAAACATCCCCTTTGAGCTACAGCCAGTGTGGACCCCCCTACCTCCACTACCCCAAGAACTGGGTTAACATAATTTTTTCTGAAACCGACACAAAAGTCGTCCATTTTGATACTAAAATTAGCTCTTAAATTGACGTTTCTATTACTGACATAAAAATAGGTATGTTGCTAGGCAACATATTTAGTTCCTAGGAACTAAAGTTGAATTGTAGTTCCTAGGAGGTAAAGTTGAACTTTAGCTCCTGGGAACTAAAAAGGATATACTGGACGTCATCAAGAATAAACAACATTGTGACGGCTGGTTATTTTGGTTGAGACGCATACCTGATTTGTTTCCGATTTCAGCAGATTTGGCATTTCATACCCATGCTGGAGATATAAATAGACTTTACTATAGTTTAGTATTGGAATTATAAACATCTCAGTTAAGTATTTTTGTTTTGATCAGGGAAGCCTTCAAGATTCAAATACTTGCTTGATCTGTATTTCATTCGTTATTCTCGGGATGGATAACTTGTTTTTGAATATTCACGGCAAGCAATAGTTTTTTGTCTCAAACAACGATATTGTTTAGCTTCATTTGATTATTAAGTCAAACACAGTGTAGTATGGAGAGGAATAAATAATCACTATTATCATTGTTGATATGCTCACTAACTTAACATTTTCCACGTCTTGTTCCTATATATAGCTGGTACTGGCGCGGTATTTGCCATTAGAGCACCTGGTCCATACACAAATATGTCACTCTGTGGTTGTATTTATATTGAAACTACAATTCGAACATCCTTGAAAACCTAACCTGCTGTTAATGCATCAGGTAGAATATTCTCACCACACGGATTATTTGTCAATATTTGTTGCATTGCATACATATGGCACGGCATTGGTGGTTACTTCACATGTTTATTTGAGTTAATTGTTTCGGTTGCATAAAATAGCATGTTTCATTCGGATCAAAAGTGACTTTGTTCGACTCGCAAATTTTGCTTTCGCTCGGCTTCGCTAAACGCTCCGCCTCGCAAATGCAAAATTCGCTTGTCAAATAAAGTGTCACTTTTGATCCTAATAAAACAATCTACTATTTGAAGCAAGAATAAGGAAATAAAGTGTCTAAAACGACAAGGGCATGGTGATTTTCGGAAGATTCAATCCGTTTTGTCAGTGACAATTTAATAGATAATATTTTTTTACCTATCTTACGTGCTTACAGGGTCTGTAGCTCGGAAGGGGTGCATTCTAGTATACATTTGTATAACGAAAAAGTCTTATATATAGGGTGTCCGGAAATTATGCGCAAAAAATCAAGGGGGTGATTCTACATGATAAAATAAGAAATTCAGTTCATATGTACGTGGGTCCGGAAATGCATAATTTTCAACATACAGTGTGTTAAAACTTTTAAAAAAGATCGGATTTTTATTTATATCTCAAATGTCCTTCTACCGATTTTCTTGAAATTTGGCAGTGATATTTTTTGTCATGAGGGGCTCATATAGTCATGATTCAATTGGAATTATGAGATCCAGTGGCGTCCCGGGGGGCAACCTACCGAATATTATTGTCAATAAAATGTACGCCACTGATTTTTTTGAATTTTGTAACTTCATAACCTATTGACCAACTAGAAATACAACATTTAGGTCTCTTGAATTGATTTGATAATTAGCTTCATTTCCATGGAAAAAAATAAATACCAATGTATTGCACAAATTTGTGCCAAAAAATTCCTCCAAAAACTGGGGTGAAAATAAATGAGTGATCAATGTCCATAGACATAATTTCAAATCTTCTTCAAATATTTGTTGATACATGTTTGACACACTCTACACTCTGTATATTGAGAACTATGTATTCTCGGTCCAGGAACGTGTAATTATCGATAATACAAAGTGTGTCAAACATGAATAATAATAAAGTATTTGAAGAAAATGAATCGTCATTCTTATTCTTCTATGGAAATGGATCACACATTTATTTCACCCCTGTTTTTGAAGCAATGTTTTGCACAAATCTCGGCACAAATTTATACAATGAATTGGTATTTATTTGTTTCCACGGTTATTCGTTAGGATATGAAGATATAGAATTAAAGAAAATCAGTGACGCACATTCAATAATATAAACAGTTATTTATTATACAAGGGAAAAAAGTAGTAGATTTCAGCTCGAGGTTGTGTTATCATAGACAAAAACCGTGGGCTAAAATCTTGTATTTTCCCGTGTATACTGGTCCAACGCGACAGCTAGAGATTCCCCGTGTTTTTCTATTGAAGATTGCCATAAATGGGTGACGTAGGCAAGTAGATCTCCAGTAGATCTTCGGTGGCGAAAGCCGTATTGTCTATCATTGATGATTCCTGAGCTCTCCAGATATTTGATAAGCTCAATATTGATGGCTTTCTCCATCACTTTGGAGATTACTGATAACAGGGCAATGGGCCTGTAGTTGTTGGGCAGGTTCTTGTTCCCTTTTTTGGGGATTGGTTGGACTCTAGCTGTCTTCCAGCATGATGGAAAAATACCCGACCTGTACGAGATGGTAAACAACTTGCAGAGAATCGGTGTTAATTCTGGTGCACATTTTTTGAGGATAATGGGTGGAATTCCATCAGGACCGTTAGCCTTATTCGTTTAGAGACCAAGCAAAATTCGTCTGATAGTGCGTTGACGGAAGACGATTTCGGGCATTCGACTCTCAACGGGTGGAATGTCTGGCGGCAGTTTTCCTTGGGAATCTAAAGTAGAGTTTGCTGCGAACATCTCTGCAAAAATATTCGCTTTCTCCTGCGATGTTGTTGCTAATGTGCCGTCGGATTTGGACAGTGGTGGAAATGAACTATTAGTGAAATTTCTGGAGCCATTGGGTCAATCTATGAGTTTCGATCTTATCTTGTATATATATAGTATATTATAGTGTTGAATTTAATTTTTTTTTGTATTTTCTTTGAATATCTCCAGCCAGAGACGCAAGAAATGGATAAAATGTGGTATACAGAGGTTTTTTATCATGCTAAATCCAAATATGATCTTAGTTTTGTGATGACTGATAGAGGGCGCTACATACAGGGTTCCATCCCTATCGGATCGTTCGTAACTTTTTTGCTATACACTGTATGTCATTTTCGACGGAAAACATTTGTTATCTCTTCGTTTATACTTAAGAAAGGTATACCTTGTCCAAGTCGCTAGAAGCAATGGTTCCAGTACAATATATGCATCTAAAAACCGACAATGCACGCAAATTATTCAAAAAGCGCCAAAGTAACTTTTGCAAAAACAATGATATAAATACTTCAACAATTACGTTTTAATGATATGATGAGAAATATGATTAATCAGAACAAAACATTAAAATTCAACACCCCGTATCTTTTAACCTCTACAAGTCCTTGTTCATAGGAACTTTTTTCCTTATTTTAGTGTCCTCTATTGTGTGGCACTATGCAATGTACTTTTTTCTATGTAACCCTGTACACAGGGTGTTTCAGTTTTTTGTAGCAGGACTTTAACAGCTTGAAGAAGACATTTTTTCAAGATGAATACACTTCAAAAACTCAATATTTGAGGCTATTGAGCATTTTTGAATACCTACAGGGTGATAGACTTTCAGGGGTCGTACCCAATTTAACCCTATAGACCTTTTTTGCGTGCCGCCTCTGCTTTCAATGGGACATAGATTTAGTTTTCACTGCAATTTGGAAACTTTTTGCCCCCATGTATGTTTTTCGAAAACTGTATGGATTTCGAGATAAATAAAAGTGGAGTCCGAACTACTTCTAAGGGTACTGATAAAATTAGAATTGCCGTTCACGAGATTAAATTATTAAAACCTAATAGGTCTATGATTAAAACCCACAACACCTCAACCGTCAGAAGCGACAGTAACGCCTAGACCATGTGTCATACAGTCCCTGATATCGAAAGTTTAACCAGTTTCAGTTATAGAGGGTGTCCTAGAATTGTCTACAATACAATTTCAGATTTTGCAATCCAGTTAGAGAAGTTTTTTAAATTAAAAACACTTTTTCTTTGTGTTTCCTATAGTTCTAATTATAATATATAATATTATAATATAATATAATAAAATTCAATCTAATTTTGCAACTGGATTTCATTTGGTATGGAAGCTTTCGGTCATTCTATTTTCCAATGAAATGTTTGAGAAATTTCAAATAAGTGTGTTTGAGAAAACGGTTTCATGACAAGTAATACATTTTCGGCATTTATCTCGAGATCCATACAGTTTTCCGAAAATTTACATAAGGGCAAAAAGTTTCCAAATTGAAAGGACAATCTGAATCTATGTCCCATTGAAAGCAGATACGGCACGCGAAAAAGTTCTACAGGGTTAAATTGGGTACGACACCTGAAAGTCTATCACCCTGTAGGTATTCAAAAACGTTCAATGACCTCAAATATTAAGTTTTTGAAGTGTATTAGGTGTACCAAATTTCAATCAATTATTCCGAAAATTGTAGGAGAAAATTCAAGAAACATAAAAATGATCTGAAACTTTGACACCCTGTAAATCGGAATCGAAGCTTCCACGCATATATGTTTGTATGAGATTTTCATCTTCAAATAATGTCTTCTTCAAGCTGTTGAAGTCCTGCTACAAAAAACTGAAACACCCTGTATATCCGGGAATAAAGTACTCTTTTTTCCCGCGGGAAAAAAGTAATTTATGGAAAGTTACATTTTATAAACTGTCAACAGAGATGAAATGTCAATAAGAGATACAACGCCTGTTCAATTATGAACAAGATGCGTAATTTTATGCCGAACAAAATGCCGTTTTGAAACTTCCGAATATGTTCGGGGATATACAAAAGTTTTTCTGAATTTTCGTTTACAAAATCATTTTGGATCCCATTTTGATGAAAACTTTTAATTTTCATCAAATTCTGAAATAATATATTCGAATGTTTCATTGGAACACCCTGTGTATACTTACTTAATTTCTTAATCTCAAGTCTTGATATCAAAGGCTTATATGCATGATGAATATTGATTTAAATCTGAAGGATAGTTGTTGCGAATCATTCCAAAAAATCATTCATTTGTATCAAAGATTTTTTCTCCGATTGGCAGCAAATATCAATTTTGCTGACACATATCAATCAGCAAAGTATTACTTTTCCTGCCTAGGCAGCAAAGTGGTTACTTTGCTGATTGATATGTATCAGCAAAATTGATAATCCATAAATCGTTTATAATTTCCTTCATATTTCATCCGAGACTTCTACGGCAACAAATTCAACTCTATATTTTTTGCCACCTCCCTTATTTCTGGAGGTGTAAGTACTTCCAGGTCCCTATCACTGTCCATTATATAATAATTTGAATATACCGATATTTTTTCGCACAACTGTCAGAAATTTCATGAATTGTCAAACTATAATTATTATGGACATTTCCATAGCCACCAACCATTCCAACAACTGCGATTTCTATCAAATTTTATTTTAATTGAACAATATAGGAAAAATAAAGAGATATATATATCATTATGAACAATCGGAGAAAAAATTATATGTTCAACCCGGCAGCAAAGTAGGTTGACTGCCTTAGCTGGATTCCTAGCCTCGCTACGCTCGGCTATGAATTCAGCCTCGGCAGTCAATCTACTACTTTGCTGCCTAGTTAAACAAATAACTATTTTCAGTATTTCCTAAGAACAATAATGCACAAACGGGTATCTCTCCCACTACAAATGAACCTACTCTAGTGATCTATCTAGATGATAACCATCCAGAGGTATCATGGACTCCCAATTTGAAACCATCTGTGATTATCGAAACTGATCGAAGGTTCATAATTTCGGTGAAAATTGAGTACTGTGACTTGGATGGAGAAAATGGAGAAAATGTTGCAATAAGTACGGGTAAGAAATGGAATGCGTTATTGTGAAAATGTGAATTGCTGATTTGATTAAATATTTTCAGGTAAAGCAAATGAAACATTACTGTTTACATATGGAGTGAAAAACAAACCAACATATTTATTCCGGTCCCATAAATTATATGTCGACTTTGTGGGCACACATCTCACTAATTTCAATGCCACATTTACAAGAATTGGTAAGTATTATTCTCATAATAAGCTACACCTTTTCCAGATGTATTTCAGAAAGCGTCAATTCAATTTCAGAAAGCATCAATTGTATTTCAGAATAGTCAATTGTATTTCAGAATAGTCAATTTCATTTCAGAAAGCGTCAATTGTATTTCAGAATAGTCAATTTAATTTCAGAAAGCGTCAATTGTATTTCAGAATAGTCAATTCAATTTCAGAAAGCATCAATTATTGTATTTCAGAATAGTCAATTCAATTTCAGAAAAGGTCAATTGTATTTCAGAATAGTCACTTGTATTTCAGAAAGCGTCAATTGTATTTCAGAATAGTCAATTGAATTTCAGAAAGCGTCATTTGTATTTCAGAAAATATAATTTGAATTCCAGAAAGCGTCAATTGAATTTCAGAATGCATCAAGATCGATTAGTTAGTAGAAAGTGCACCCCATGTAAGAATGCATAGGATGTTCTGTGCTTCCTGTAGTGATGTTTTCAATTTATTCACCCCAAATTTTTTTTATGTACCTTTTAGGTACCTATATACTATTCGATGAACAGATCACAGAATATCAGGTATATGTAGATGGGACAATCAGAGATAAACTTCTTTCTATTGCTATGAAAAAGTTCTGATATTTATACATGTTTGTCCAATCGGAATAAGTGACTGGCTGTTTGAATGATACTGTAGAATAGGTTGCCTGGCAGGAGAACACCCCGTGGAAAGTGTCTGGCAATTGTATATTCTCTATCATGAACATAAAAAGATCAGCTTTTGTTGAAATGATGTTTACGCCAGTTTCCACCGAATAAGGTATACCACACATAGAAAATATCAACCTTGTTGAAATGATGTCTGGTGGTCGCTGGCTTTTAGTCTATAGAGAATGATTTCTGAAATTCAATTGCCTATTCTGAAATACAATTGATGCTTTCTGAAATTCAATTGACGCTTTCTGAAATTCAAATGATACTTTCTGAAATACAATTGACACTTTCTGAAATTCCATTGACGATTCTGAAATACAATTGATGCTTTCTGAAATTGAATTGATTATTCTGAAATACAATTGACGCTTTCTGAAATTGAATTGACTATTCTGAAATACAATTGACGCTTTCTGAAATTGAATTGACTATTCTGAAATACAATTGACGCTTTCTGGAATACAATTGACTATTCTGAAATTCATTTGACGTTTTCTGAAATTGAATTGACTATTCTGAAATACAATTGACGCCTTCTGAAATACAAGTGACTATTCTGAAATTAAATTGACGCTTTCTGAAATACATCTGGAAAAGGTGTAGACTAAAGATTTCGATACTGGTGGAATATTATAATATAACTATTCATAGACCGGAAGCCCTCAACGTGTTTTTTGAGTCTCATTTCACACTCAGCAGTATAAAAACCCTCCAAATTATATACAACATGGATATATATGAGCTCGCCAAATGAAAATCGAGGACAAAAGGGCGAGGGTCGCGTGGATGAAGTTGTATTCAGAAACCGGGGTTTCGAATCTTTACTTACCGTTCGGCGTATGTCGCAAGTTACGTAATTGAAAAAAAAGTTTTGGCGAACGGCATTGTCAAACACTAGAGTCTAGCCATAGCACCATAGCGAGGTAATATTGCGCCTCGCTCGCTGCTCGAGAAACTGAAAATTTCCGGCCGATCCTGAGAAGAAACATAATTGAAATGGCGAATCACTATCGGCCTAACTGATAAATGCCTCCATAGTATTTTTTCGCTTAATTACTTCGAAAAAAATAAAAAAGTAAACAAAGACTCCGGTCTTTTCGCTCAGAGGGTGGTTCAAGATTCAGAATTCCGATCACCCTGTATCTGTTCCGCTTAAATATCAGTAAATAGTGAATCAAAAGTTGAGATAACGACCGTTTTGACCAATGATGAATAGCTTAGACACACAAAAAATCTTAAAGTTGAAAAATCTCGATTTTGAACACCCTATATCTCTGTAATCATTTTCGATAGACCCCCAAGTGTGATACATCGATGAAATCAGCTGTAATCATTCCCGCTGGACCTTAAGTATGATATATCGATGAAATCAGTTTTTCAGTTAAAATCGGAAATTGCTATACAGGATATGAAATAACAAACTTAATATTGCGGCATGACTGCATTGTCGGAAGTACTTTAGATCGATAGACCAAGAGCAACTACTTGAGTATCCAAACTTTCAGGATGATCCTTTTTTTTTTTTTTTTTTTTTTTTCTTCATTACACTACAATATACATAAAGTACAAAAAAAAATCAAGAAATACAAATTTTACAATCCAAAATAAATACAAGTTACAATATAACAGTAGCTCAGTGTTTGATAGTATTATAATACAATTTTCACAGTTTGAAATAGTACATACATCTATAATAGGGATGATGAAAAACTCCTAATCAGCAAAGAGAATGCTGGTATCGGAGTACAGTTTTCTTTAAATGCGGTATTGTGGTAAGTAAATTCTGTTAGTTAAATTCATTGGTTATCTAGGATATATCTTTTAAGTTCTTCGTTGAAATGTTTGTAATTGTCTATATTCCTTTATGTTTATAGGGATGTTATTGTATGTTTCTACACTTCGGTTAATTGGATTATTTAAGGCTATGTTGGATCTTACGTTTGGTAAATAGAGGTTATTGTTAATCAGCTGTCTTGTTTCATGGTGGTGAATATTATTTATATATATATATACTTGCTTTGCTCCATTTTCAGAATTTTCTTAATAGGTACTATTTTTGTTTCTTTGTAAATAGTTTCTGTTGGTGTACGATATTGATAGTTGAAAAGTATTTTTATTATTTTGTTTTGAATTATTTGAATTTGTTTTAATTTAGTGATGGAGCATATTCCCCAGATTATAATTAGGTATCTAAGGTTTGAGAGGAAGTAGGCATTATAAATTAGGAAACGATTTCGGTTGTCCAGATATTCCTTACATCTGAAGAGCGCACCAATCATCGGCACAATTTTGGATGTGAGGTGGTCGATATGTTTTTGCCAGTTCAATTTATCATCTATTACGAGGCCTAGGTATTTTATGTTGTCAGTTTTGTTAATCAGTTCTCCATTTATGTTTATAGTAATCTCTTTGACTAGTATATTTTTTTGGTGGAACAACATGTACTTCGTTTTTTTAGTATTGATTTTGAGTTTATTTTTCTTTAACCATTGTGTATAGGTATTCAAATCGTTATTTACTGTCTCCTTTAAAATTTCAGTGTTTGTACCACTATATACCAATACTGTATCATCTGCAAATGTATAGTATTTTCCAGATAGTTGTGCCTGCCTTAAGCTTAAAACATGAAGTGTGTACAATAAGGGTCCCAGAACAGAACCTTGAGGTACTCCACAATAATTTGTTAGCATTTCACTAGATATGTTATCTAGCGAGATATATTGTTCTCTATTCCCTAGATAACTGTTTAGAAGATCATATATTTTACCCCTTAAGCCCATTGTTTCACATTTACTTAAAAGTATCCTGTGGTCTACAACATCAAAGGCCTTTTGGAGATCAATAAATACTGTTATTATTATTTTTTTATTGTCAAGTTCTGTTGTTATGTGATTGATTAAGTCAATTGAGGCACTTTGAGTGTTACTTTTGGGTTGAAATCCGTATTGGTATTTGTCTGGCTTTATATATTTATCAATGAAACATGTTATTCTTTTTTTGATGATCATTTCAATTATTTTTGATAAGACACTTATAACACTAATGGGTCTATAGTTTTCTATTTTGTTTTTTGGGCCTGATTTGTGGATTGGTACTACTCTAGAAACTTTTAAAACATCTGGATATTTACCGCTGTCAAAAGTTTTATTTATTAAAAATACTAATATTGGTAGTACGATTTGCTTAATAGAAATAAGGTTTTTTACACTTATTTCGTCAATGCCAACTGCTGAATTTAGGTTCATTTCTGTCATCACCTCCAGTACTTCTTTTTCATCCGTGTGTTCTAGGTATATACTTTGGTTACAATACACCTCTTCAAAATTTAAATTGTTTGTGTTTCCTTCCCTTTCTATACTTTCAACTATGTCTTTACCTATACTTTAACAAAATAGCTATTGAATGTGTTTACAATTTTTTTTTGATCTGTAACTGCTTCTCCATTTATTTCTAATGATATCTCTTCAACTTTTTTACCATTTTTATTCTTTACTAGTGTGTTAATGAATTTCCATTGTTTTTTTGAGTTGTTTCCTGCTTCATTCCAATTTTTATTAAAATAATCTTTTTTTAGTTTCCGTTTTTTGCTGTTTACCTCATTTTTCATTTTTTTAAATTCGCCTTCAATATTTTTATTATCTGGATATTTTTTTTTTTAGTTTGTATAGTTTGTCCCGTTCTTTTATCATATTTATGTACTCATAGGTTAACCAATCATTTCCTTCTTTTGCCCTGACATTAAATGTCTTTGATGCCATACCCTTTGCTTTTTTTATAACATTTATGAGTTTTTCAAATGAATCTATTACAATATCTTGGGATATTACCGAGAAATTTTTTATATAGTTATTTTCATTCAGTTTCACAATTTTTATGTCTGTTTTTGGTCGATGAATCTTGAGTTTTTCTACGATAGTGATTTCTATTAGATTATGATCAGAGTATGAACATGGTTTTATCTTTATGCTACATTCTAGTTTATTAACAAGTACATGATCGATTATGGTTTTAGTTGCTTGTGTTATTCTAGTTGCACAGTCTTCAGAGATATTATTTGCAATTTTGTACCCGAACAGAGAAATACTATTTCGGTATTGTTGGACTTTTTGAGAGTCCTTCAGTAAATCAATATTAAAGTCACCCACAAATATACATCTTGACTTTTCGTTGCTGATTATTTCTTCAAAATCTGGTACAAATTCAGTTAGATCACAATTTGGCGGTTTATACACTGAGTATATCTTTAGTTTCAGTTCATATAGATTAATTCCTATTAAATTGTATGGCATATTACCCCCTATGTTTCTTATTTCTTGATATCTTAGGTAGTCCTTGATGTAAATGGAAGTACCTCCACCTCTGCTGTTCCTACATGAGTGCGCCACTGCATATCCCGATAGAGAATACATATGTAGTTCATTATTGTTCAACCAAGTTTCGGTCAGCACCAATATATCACATTTGTTTATTTCAACAAAACATTTCACTTCGTCTAATTTGTTTCTAATACTTTGAATGTTTATATAAGCAATGTGATATTCCGACTGTGTTTCTTTGGTTAGTTTTTTTAAATCGTTGACATCTTGTATTAACTCAATTTTGCTCATCTCATCTTTTCTCAAGAATATCTTGCCATTACTGTTTGCCCAGACAAATTTGTAGTTATTTTCAGATTTGAAGATCCTTTTCTAATATACATTCATAGATATTCCAATTTTTGTGGCTTCATTGGGTATTTTTTGTATTTGAACACTTGATTTAAAGATATATACTGAGATAGATTAGGGCCCTTGGCATGTGAACAATTTCTATAACATATTCGTATATTTGAAATTTTCTGCTGCTTTCAACATTATCTGATAAACGGACAGAGGTTTATTTCTACTCATCCAAATAAAAAATAATGAATGTATTTATAGTGCGCTGTCTAGTTGCTCAATATCATTTGTCTCGGTTTATTGGCATCACCAATTTTGCACAAGTTCAATCCACACTATGGCATTGCCAAACCATTAATCCAATTTTGTTTTCATTCCTTGATTATTTCAATGTTTTTTCAGGCGAGGCTTTAACAACTACTACCACGACTGAAGTACCGACAACTCGAAATTATCCTACTGCATCCTCCAATTATTCAGACTATTTAACCGTTTTCATAGCAGGAAAAAGTGCTGAGGAATATAAAACTGAGGAAACAAAACATTTGTTCAGGAGGATAGTGATTCAAATGGCAGCAGAATATACTGATAATGAGAATTTTGACTTAACTCATAATATTACGTAAGCCAATTATTCAGATTGCATTTTTTAAACTTTTAGGAAACCTTCGTCACCTTCCGCTTTAACCGGAAACGACATCAACTTAATTTGGTATTCAAATGTTAGTTCAAAAATCTTCTCAAAATAACATTCACTCACGTGTTATATTATTTCACACAATCCTCTCGTTCTCGTAATCAAATTTCATCAAAACAGTAAATAAAAAACCAAATTATTTCCACAACATTAAATTACACGACAATATATCCGGTAAAAATTTCAGTATTGATTAAACCAACGGAATTGAATGGAGTACCTATACTTACCTGTGCTACATACCTATAGGAGATTCAGGAACACTTGGCTGGATAAAACCATATTCTGGGCTCGCTGTTTCAGACACCATTTTCTAAAATGCCCATACGATTCTGAATATAATTCTGCTTATGTCGTGACAGCCATCATTATCATCACTTAGGTGTCAGCTTCGTGTTTGTCTTGACACTTCTCAGTTCTCAGTGACATACAAAAAAAAAACATTTTTCATGTTGAAAACGGGAGCAGATTCGTTCCCGAAACGTCCAAAGATAACTGAAAATTTTATATTTTTTCTATATACCTTTATTTCTCTTCTCCAAACCTTTTGTAATACAAATTGTCACTGAAAAGCTAGTGAATTTTTCTCTTAGGCTCTCTGATAGGAAAATTCTTTAAACGCAGTGACATTTTGGGAAAATCATCCGATTTTAGTATTCATATTTTTATTTTATAGAGACGAGGAGAGAAAATCCCAAAAAAAATCTGGAATAATGAATTAATAATAAACTTTTCACTATTGTTCTTGTTGAGAACACAACAGGAAAATAGTTATTTGTTTTACTAGGCAGTCATTCTACATTTGTTACCGTGTGAAACATATAATTTTTTCTCCAAATGTTATACAACCAATTTTGTGTTGAGGATCAACACTGATATTTTTAACACCATCATAGGGTGCCATTCGTTCTTACATACAGTCAAGAACAACACTAGAGTACCTAGTGCTTATTTTATCGTTTCGTGTTATTCAACACCGAGTGGTGTACCATACAATCATTTGATGATTATTTTGACACTATATCTTTTGCGTTTTTGTTTTTACTGATAACATTAAGATATGCGAATATTTTTTGGATATATTTTTCTGTTGTGAAAACACAATCATTTAGTGTCATCACGCTGAGAAGCGGTGCTTTCTTGTCTGCATCTGAGTGTTGAATAACACTATTCTGATACACTAACATTATTAGTATTCAGTGAATGAAATGATCCATTGTAGTGAGAGTTGAGACATCAAAACATCTCTGAGCTGATACTATTAGAAGGCTGTCGAGATACGAGCGTCGAAGGAGCGCTAGTGTCGCCATCTATCAAGATATTTACTCAATATTTGTGTGCACAAAATTTATACTTTGATATTCAATTCTATGTATCAATCTGGTTCGATATAAGTACTCTATATGTATAGCTTCGCAATCTCAAAATCATCATATATAATTGATGAATCAACTTAAAATACATTCAATTCATCGTTTTCACGAAATCATCCGTTCTTATTGTCACCTACTAATCTGGATACCAGAATTCGTGGATGATGATATACCTACACAATTTTTATCCATTCTTCAATGAGTTTAGGTTTCTCAGGGGGGTAATTTCAATCAGTAACATTATTTATTCACGTGGGAGAATGCAAGACGATATATTAGACCCAAATCTTATGATTAATACACGATATTGATTTATTCGTGATTGGTGAGGGTGTAACTAGGTGTTTATTTCATATAATAAGTGTATTTTTCTGAATAATACCACTAACGAAAGTAATTACTTTCCATCTTTTTGGTGTTTTTTTTTTAAATGAATATTTCAGAACCCCTTTAAATCACCATGTGTGCATGTGATTTTTCACTATGAAGATGTCAATTGATATCACTGTACACAGTACACACCCGAAAATTTCTCACTGTACAGTACAGGAAATAGTAATTTTCCTAACAAGTGCGGAAAGTTATTCTTTCCCGCACGCGACTGCCGGTGACACGAACGACGCGAAGCGGAGTTCGGGCAAGCAGTCGAGTGCGGGAAAGACACTTTCCGCATGAATAAGGAACAATATTTTTTCAGCACAGCATTGCCAAGTCTCTTTAGCCAATATTTACATAATGTTTTGTCATAGAATATAAGAAATATTTCGAAAAGCTGCAGAAAATGCGAATTCTCAATGTATTTCTTTATATCAATCTCTTATGTTCATAATTCATCTGAGAATATTTCTTTTCAATACTTATTTCCTCGAACTTGGACGATGGAAACTTGTTATTTTTGTAGACCTTCAATCGCAGATTCGTGATTAGGTTTTCTCAATTCAGAAGTTCTTTCCACGTCATGTATGATGAATATCAAGGACCTCGCACATATAGTACGGAAAATGGCTTTCGTCTAATTTTTCTGGAAATTTGATTATGTTTCAAATATTAGCGTCCTTATTACACATTCCAATTTAGAAATCGATCCTATGACCTGTTTTTCGAGCTAAAGGGTGCCAATCATTTGATTCTGGCTGTTTAGAATATTTCTACCCCATGAATCCCTCCCTATTCGAATAGATAATAATATCACATACAGGGTATTGCATTCCATCATGACAAGGTAATATTCATAGGAATAGACAAATATTGAAAATATCAGAATTTCGATTTTTACTCAATCACTGAAAACTTTAAAACGAACCGCTAGAATTGGCAGATTCTAGCCGTTTGTTTTCAGTGATTGAGTAAAAATCGAAATTCTGATATTTTCAATATTTATCTATTCCCATGAATATTACCTTGTCATGATAATAATAATAATAATAATTTATTCACCAGAAAAGAAACAACAATACAATATATAAAATACAATAGTTGTTGTACGAAACTAATATTTAGAGTACCTAGTTTATACATAAAATCAGGTGAATAAACACCGTCCATGTAAGGCAGAACCTTATGAGTATGGAGACATATGTTAATACATCAATCTGATTTTTGTATGCACTCTAACATTGAGACATGAATTATTATAAAATCATCAAAAAAAAACGAAAATTATAAGAACCAGTTGATGATAGTATGTGTAAGGATGAAATATAAAAGATGATAGCGTACGAAGTTTAAAATAAGAACAATAAATTAAATATCACATTCAATTATTTTTCAAATAAATAAGGCCATGAATAAAGCTTCGTGGATTTAGATGCAGCAAATCCCTTATTTTTTTTTGAATAATGGAAATGATTGGATTGCTCTCAATTCTGTGGTCAGGCAACTATATATCTTTGGAGCTAAGTAATTGTAAGATCTTTGGAAAATAGTTTTCTCCGCTCTGGGGATAACTGAAGAAGATTGTTGTTTACGAGTATCATAACTATGTTTATCTGATGGCATGTCATAATGACAACGTTATGTCACTCAATTTTGATGACATAAGGAAGCTCATTATGGGACTAAGTACCATAATGAATTCATTAACTTGAAAGAGTTGATATCAAATACAATCATATTATTACTTACTAAGAAAACAAATTCAACAGTGGTGAACTATTAAGGTGTAATTGATCATTAAGTAAAATGTCAAAATTTTTGAGTTTGTTGATTTCTAATGATTCAAAATGGTTGAGTTTCAGTCCTTTATTTTCTATGTGCAGAATTTCAAAATTATCATCAAAACTATGGTTTTTTTCTAATATGTGGTTGGCGTATGTTGAATTTGTTTTCTTTTTCATAAAATTCATCTTATGTTCATGAATGCGCTTTTTAAAAGTTGATCCGGTATACCGTAATTTAATGTAGATATTGTGCCTAATTTCCGAAAATGAAGGTTTATCGTACCTGTCCACAGGTAACTAATCCTTCAGTTTGGGAAGGTAAGATATATAAAAGTTAAGCAAGCCAACGTTAGTTTAGTTCATTGTACCAGTATATCACCTGACGAAGCTACTGTGTTAGCGAAACATGTCGTGTGTTTAATAAATTTTGTGGAAATCTTATCGTTTGTGAAGTTTTTACATGTATCACATGGTATTTCGAGTGAATTGTATTCAGGTAAATTGTTCTGGTATGAGGTGAATGGGATGAAATGAGTTTTTTTGAAGTTTACTGTCAAAAGCTTAGTATTAAACCATTCAATAATTCTTTTGAAGTCTCGCTGTCTCCACTTCTGCTTTCATATACTCTGCCATGATTCGCCTTCATAAAAAACGGCCGTATCATCAGCAAAACTCATTATATCACCTTTTGTTTCCAACTCGAAAAGATCGTTCACATATATATTGAATAGGAGAGGTTCTAACACAGTCCCTTGAGGAACACCATACTCTATTGTTCTGAAATCGCTACGAGTAGTATTTATTTTAACGCATTGTTGTCTATTTGTCAGATAGCTTGTGATCAATTGTAGTGGTATTCCTCTAATACCAACATTTTCTAGTGTTTCGAGTATCGAATGCTTTTGCCAGATCGACGAAGATACAGAGTGATGTCTTTTTCTTATTCAGTGCTTGGTAAATACGCCCTGTTATAGTTATTTATGTATTAAGGGAATTATGAGGGCCTTAATTACCGATGGCAAAGTTTGCGTCCCGAGGGCCTCTGGCCCGAGGGACAGCAATTGCCAGAGGTTATTAAGGCTCTATAATTCCCGTGATACATTGATAATTTTATTTCTGACTGATTTCATTCATTAGATACCTTCCCGATTGGAAGTTAGACATGTTTTCCGTATAGTTTCAATGTCATCAGAACGTCAGATGATGATCTTGACTACCGCGAATAGGTGATTCCTTATTGCTACGTTATTGCGTGGTTGTTGCTATGCATTTCTTATTTAATTTTAGCTAGAGGGAATTATAGCATCTATAACATCCCAAGGGAGATATGACCCTCATTATAGATATCATAACTATGACGATATAAGCTTATAATGTCACTGTCAGAAATAAAAGTTGTTACTGCATCTTCTGTCGATCTGGCATCTCTAAACCCATATTGTTTGTCCGAAATGATTTATTGAAAAAATTTACAAATCTCTTTTTCATTATTTTTTCAAAAATTTTTGCTACTGACTTATTAGAGAAACCGGTCTATAGTTATTCATGTCCATTTCGTTTCCTCTTTTATAAAGAGGTTTAATTATATGTGAGTGGAGGTGCCAAATATCGTATTACTTCCTTTATTGTTTCACTCTTCAAACCATCGATTCCTGGAGCTTTTTTTGTCTTTCAATGAATACACAGTCTCAATGATTTCACTCTCATTGGTATCTTCTAGATAGATTGAATTTCTAAGTTTTTTTGTGTTATATTTTATTGCATTTTTTATTTTTATTTTTTCTGCTAGTTCTTTACCAACACTCGTGAAAAAAGAGACAAATTCATTCGCAATATCACCGTCGTTACTTTTAGTATTTTGATCAGCACCGAGCACCGAATATTTCAGGAATTTTAGTAGTTTTGTTTTTCTTTGGACATATGTCATTGACGCATTTCCATAACCCATTTGTATCATTTCTATTTTGTATAATTTTCGATTGATAATAGTTCTTTTCTGTTGTCTTGATTAGGCTATCTAGTTTGTTTCTATACTATACATGATGGAATGCAATACACTGTATGTCATATTATTACCTATTCGAATAGAGGGATTCATGAGGTAGAAATTAGACGTGGATCGTTTATTTCTACTGAAAGATCTATCACCACTTAGAGCACATAATTCAAATCGGTGCAAACTATTCTAAACAGACAAATTCAAAGAATTGAAATCCTGTAGCTCGAAAACTGGCCATATAGGATCGATCTATAAATTGGACTGTGAATCTATGGACTGTGTAATAAGGACGCTAATATCTGAAACATATCAAATATTCAGAAAAATTAGCCGGAAGTCATTTTCCGTACTAAATGTGCGGGGTCCATTGTCATACTTATACATCAAAAAAGAAAAAGAAAAAAAAAAGATATATTTTTGTTGAATCCAAAATCTTGTTGTTGTTTTAGGGAAGACAATGTATACATTTCACAAATTAATCCTTGTCCCACGAAGTGGACAGGCCATGAAACGTGTTCTGAAATAACGTTTTCAGTACCTGTATTCCTGAATGAAAGCTCGGATTCGCGATGGACAGGTTACCAATTGAGTAGTAGCCATTTGAAAATCATGTGGAGTCGATATTCAGAAAAGTATTTCAATGACGTTTTAACTATTTATGTGGAACCACAACTACAGAGCATGTTGACTAGCAGAATTATTCTCATCTCTATAGTAACTATTGTCTTCGTACTTGGTTTACTGGCAGTCAGATTCACGCTCGTAAAAATGGTCAAAAGAAGAAGGTGAGTAGAACCCGAGATTTCGTAATGTATAAATTATTATACATTTCACTTGATTATTGTATAAGCGCATCATTTCAATATATATGTAGTAGGACAAATCAGATGATTTGTATTGAAAAGGAACATTCTCAGATATATTTATGAACCCAAAAAAAATTGGATATACCGGGTGTCAACGAATCTATTAGACAAGTCATTACTTCTAGACCATTATGTTTATCAAAATGAGATTTGGTATAGGTAAATGGTATGTGAAGAGGAGAGTTTCCACATATTTTTCACTTCCTGGTCACTTCCGGTTTCACCGGAAATGGGTCCGGTTCTAAGTTTTTAAACGAAACACCCTGTATATTCTAACATTTTTGGATTTCTGAGACAATTCTAGATCAGAATGTGACATTTTCGAAAGTTTTTATGCCTACTTAATTTTTTCGGAGTCACTTTTGAAATTACATCTAGGTGGCCATGATTTGAAGTAAACTAATCTAAGGAACTCAGGTGATATCAGAAAATTACAATCGCGAAGTTTTAGTGACAAGTATGATAGATACGGATAAGACAAGTTGGCAAAATTACATTTTCGTGTCTAACTATTATTTTTCAAATGGCGACCATTTTTTGACAAGCACTTTCCGAAAAAAGGATATTTTGACGAATCTAACGATACTAATTTATTTGCGATTGGATTACAAATGAGAACATGAATTAAATATTACTGACGGAAAAACTTCATAAATAATTTATTTACTTTTGTCGAGTGTGCCATGGATAATAATTCATTTACTTTTGTAAGCACTTCCCGAAAAAAGGATATTTTGACGAATCTAATGATACTAATTAATGGGGAACACCACTGATTTTTTAAAACGACATTATCGTGAACTCTATACTGAAAAACTACCAGTGAATTGATTTTGATTTTTTTCATTCATGCTAAGACGATGAAAAAAATAAATTAGTATATGTCCATTTCAAAACACACAATTCCTGCGCCATTTGAAATTTCATCAATTCATTGGTGTGACTGGTGCGACGTCTTAGTCCCAACACGCCTATTGTCCTTGAACTGACCAATTACACTGCAACACTGCAGAATGACGAGGTATCAGAGAGAGATAGCTACAGTTCGGGACTCTTACGTCACGACTCCACCATCATATTTGGCTGTTTGAAATATCGAATGAAATATGCTGATTTCAAAACGATATAGATTCGATTCCCCTCAACTTCAACTCATAATATTGATTGTACATAAAATGTGAATCATGATTCGTCGATTGAAAGAGGTTTGCACGAATTTCTTCCCTCAGTGGTCTTCCCCATTGCGATTGGATCAACAAATTTAACTATATTAACAATAACTTCAGCGATTCACTTAAATTTTTTTCAATTTCCTAATTATATAGTAAATTTTTAAAGTGCATTCCTTTTTCTTGTGCAAGACACATTTCAGCTCCTTCAATTGTCTCTCTCAACACGTTTCGTAAAATTTGTGGCGTTATACTTCTAAATGCCTGTAGAATCCTTCCTTCTAAGATTTCGAGAGTCACTGGGGCTGTTGCATAGTAGACCCTTTCTTTAACATATCCCCAAATGAAGAAATCTAGCACAGTCAGATCCGGTGAGCGGGCAGGCCACCGTACTGGTCCATTGGTTGCAATAACTTGATTATTGAAATGCTCTATTACATACAACTCAGCAGCATTCCTTGAATTTCTGTGACATTCTCCAAACAATAACAACTTATCCACTTTTCACTTCGAGTATGCATTATTTTGACGAAAAATTAAACTTAAATTTAACGAAAATCAAGAAAATTTTACCTTCTGCTCTTGAAGCTTATGTCACTGTCATAACCCAAGTGAGTGCTTTGTTCTCCCAAGAAGACTTGATCGAAATAACTGCAAAACATTATGCATTATGCCTATCCTCGGCACACTTGACAAAATTAAGTGAATTATTATGAAGTATTTTCGTCAGTAATATTTAATTTTTGGTCTTATTTGTAATCCAATCGCAAAAGAATTAGTATCGTTAGATTCGTCAAAATATCCTTTTTTCGGAAAGTGCTTGTCAAAAAATGGTCGCCATTTGAAAAATAATAGACAAGAAAATGTAATTTTGCCAACTTGTCTTATTTATATCTATCATACTTGTCACTAAAACTTCGCGATTGTAATTTTCTGATATAACCTGAGGTCCTTAGATTAGTTTACTTCCGATCATGGCCACCTAGATGTAATTTCAAAAGTGACTCCGAAAAAATTAGGTAGGCATAAAAACTCTCGAAAATGTCACATTCTGATCTGGAATTGTCTCAGAAATCCAAAAATGTTACAATATACAGGGTGTACCATTTAAAAATTTAGAACCAGAGCCATTTCCGGCGAAGTTATCTCCACGACATTTCATTATGTTGTGTTATCAGTTAGGTACTACTTCACTCCACCAATCCACCATGACTTTAACCTTATTACATTATGAATTCTGTGTTCTAAGTTCTTGCATAACTTAACAGGTGGATAATACAAATACTAAAAGAAATCAATTGAACTGTTCGAAATGGCCCCCATTGTTCTCGATACATTTTAATATTAGCGAGCGAACATGATTCGCTGCTTTTCTCAGATGAAATCTGTTGATGTGCTAGAATGGGTCCATCACTCTATTTCGTAGATCATCAATGTCTTGAATTGGCTCTTCATAGATTTTATTTTTGGCGTAGCCCCACAGGTTAAAATCGAGAGGCGTACAATCAGGCGACCTTGGAGGCCATCTAACAGGTCCATGAGTAGTAATTAATTTAGCACCAAATAGATTTTCGAGATATTCCTTGAACAACCGCGTATTGTGCGGTGGGACACCATATTCGCATATTCAGCAAGTGGTATCTCGTCTATGAAATTCGAAATCTCATTTCTCAATAGCCCTAAATAACGTGGACCATTCAAGTTATAATCGTAGATTATTGGACCTAGTAGACTACTGCCTGAAAAAATACACAATGAGAAACAGTTATTCATGTACAAAAATTATAGTGAGGTACCAAATATCCTTCGATAAGTTCGATATTTGCAATTTTTTGTTCATCCAAGCGCAAACCATACCTTGGCCTAGGTGCAATGAAGCTTCCATGCTCTTGTAAATTTCTTTGTAATGTTAGAAAAATAGGAGGATGCGGTTATTTTCTTTCCGGACACAAATGGAAGTATTGTCTAGCTGTTTCTCTGTTATTTCGATTATTTCTGATGTAACAATTGTACATATCAAATTTTTCGAGATTTGTGAACGGCATTGTTTGCCCCGAAATAATTAACTAACTTGTATTTTCTCTTGACGTTTACAGAAATGTCAAGATAGAATAGGCCCTGCTCCAAGCCTACTCTATGAAAGTTGTGCCATAACACATAATCGTTATTGTTTATAGAGAGTTTACACGCAACGCGCTCTGATGGTATTGTCCGAGGTATTGTCCAAGCGATTGTCCAAGCGTTTTGAGATCCTTCGCCAAATATTCGAATCCCTCGAACGCCCCGATCAAAGCCAACAGCGGCGCGACGTCTATTCCGCAAAGCGTAGTCTCGTAACAATATGTACTCATTTCAAAAACACTTCCGTACGGGGTTCAGCACCCAAACATACGCGGATGCTTTTAGATTCCATCCAGAGACGAGCCATTCGCCTGGTGGGTGAGGCCACTCTCACTAATCCTTTGACCTCATCAGAACACCGCGTAGAAAAGTCGTTCTTTAGAAATATTTGCTTTCATTCCATCACTAGCAATACCAGTCAGAACAAAACTCGTTCGTCAAAATAGAACGGCAAAGCTTTGGAATTGTTTGCCAATGGAAGTTTTCCCAACAACTTATAACCTCCAAAAGTTCAAGAAAATTTATAATACCTATACCTCCTCCTCTCCCTATCCTCCCTAGGTTCTTCGAACATTATTGGAATTTACTTTCGTACGCTCCAAGAGATAAAAAATATAGCTTCATAATATCATTTTATGTTGTCAATATATTTTTTTTTCGATTCAAAATAAGATTCGGAATGCTTGTGCAAATTCTCAAAATGGAAGTTCAGGTAATATTCATTGTTATCCTCAATATAGGTTTATGTTTGGCTAATGAGAACCCATCACAATGACTGCTATTCCGGAACTATTTGATCATTTAATTATTCGCATTTATGATGTAAAAATGAAACTCGGAAAGCTGCTTCTCATCCAACATCATGATTGATTTATTCTGATATAGTGTCCGAGATGAATGAGAGGATCCAGTGAGTTATTCTTCACAAATTCACCTACATTTCACTCTCGAATCCAACATGATGTCTCATAAAATAAAGAAAATCCTGGTTAATACCCACTTAACATGTAGGTAAAGTTTATGCAAAGTCAGTTGAACAGATCATCAAACGAATGTCGGGCCGCACTGCCACACTCTTTGAACTTTCAAAGGGGCCGACAGCTTGCGGTGATGTGTTTTTCCAATGACTTTGCATAAACTATACCTAATGTTATAAAATATTGCCACAAAATAATAAATATTGACCTAACGGCTATACTGATTAAATAATTCCAACTCGTAGGTAAATATCTTATCACAATCACCTCACCAGATATGGATCATAGTAGGTGAAGTAGCTTAGTGTGTTACTTTCGATGAGGGCTAACATAAGTAATATATTCTGATTGTCCATCTCCATCATCAGATTGTACTACTAAGAAGTGAGGAATATATATCTTATTTCGTTTCAGTTGACTCTTCTTGTTACACAAGGTCTTGTTATTTGATGATGTAAAAGGTGCGCATACAGTTTCAAATTATGAAATGTTAAGCCTACACACCACTCTCTCTGAAAATTATCGAAAAAACAGGACTCAGTCTATAAGGCTATCTAGCTCATTTCGAGTACCTATTTTGTCTATTACAGAAAACATATGCTCTAGGACTGAATCTGACAACAGAATTGCTTACAGAAAGATTTCTTTTTTCATCAAAAGTATATTATTATTTTGGAGTCCCTATATCATTATTATTTCTTAGAAAAGTTATCAGTTGAGCACCTTTAAAACAATTGTGTATTACATTTTATATGTATATTATGTTAGAACGATTGTCTATATTTATGTTGCTTAATGTTAGTTGAAAATAGTAGCAGTCTTGTTGTTGATAAGAAAAATGTGATTTTATTTTGATCAGCACGTTTCTTTGGTCATAGATGAAACACACTCCAGAAAGAGGGCCCCCTAAAAGTTGTCATGCCCAAGGGTCATTGCCTGTTACGCTATTGATATCGCTAATGATTTGATAATAATAATCAGAAAACCACAAGGGGATAATAACTTTAATTTAATAATTTTTTTTTGTAGGAGCGAATCTGTTGATAAAACTCCAATTATTTCCAATGCAACTAGAGATAGTAGCTTCGATTTGTATCCACACCCCTACCAAGATATTCCAGCCTTATTTAAAAAAAAGTATTCGGAATTCAATCCAGAGAAAGGATTTGAGGGTAAGTTACTCACATCATTTCTGGAATGAATGGAAATTGGTATGTACAGGGTGTCCGGAAATTACGCGCAAGAAATCCGGAAATTATGCGAAAAATATCAGGGGGGTGATTCTGCATTTATACGTGGGTGTAGTTTTCAAGATACGGTGTGTTGAACTTTAAAAAAAATATATGAATATCAAATATTCTTCCAACGATTCTCTCGAAATGTTGCAATGATATTCTTTGTCATGGGGGCTGATTTAGCTATAATTGAATTGAAATTGTGACATCCAATGGCGTCCCGGGGGCACCACACCGAATATTATTGTCAATAAAATGTGCGCCACTGATTTTTTTGAATTCTCTATCAAATATTCTTCCAACGATTCTCTCGAAATGTTACAATGATATTCTTTATCATGGGGGCTGATTTAGCTATAATTGAATTGAAATTGTGACATCCAATGGCGTCCCGGGGGCACCACACCGAATATTATTGTCAATAAAATGTGCGCCACTGATTTTTTTTGAATTCCCTAATCAAATATTCTTCCAACGATTCGCTCGAAATGTTGCAATGATATTCTTTGTCATGGGGGCTGATTTAGCTATAATTGAATTGAAAATGTGACATCCAATGGCGTCCCGGGCGCACTCTACCGAATATTATTGTCAATAAAATGTGCGCCACTGATTTTTTTGAATTCTCTATCAAATATTCTTCCAACGATTCTCTCGAAATGTTACAATGATATTCTTCATCATGGGGGCTGATTTAGCTTTAATATAATTGAAATTGTGACATATACAGATACAGAATTCAAAAAAATCAGTGAAATCATTTTATTGACAATAATATTCGGTATATCAGCCTCTCATGATAATAAATATCATTGCGAGATTCCAAAGAAATCGGTGAGAGGACATTTGAGATATTCATAAAAAAGGATTTTTTAAGAAAAGTTTTTTAACACACTGTATGTTGAAAACTATGCATTTCAGGACTCACATGCATATAAAATGAATTTCTTATTTCATCATGTAGAATCACCTCCTTGATATCTTGCGCCTAATTTTCGGACACCCTTTATACCAACGGTGTATGATGTTTGTACATCAAGGTGGATAGAATATGGTGTAATGACAGACAGAGTATTTGTTTCTCCCAAAACGCTTGACGGAGTTTCCGCAATAGTGGCATATTAGTTCTCAGTTGTCCGCAAGATGGTGACACTTTTCACAGATTTCTTTCATGACAGAAAACAGAAAATGGCGCTTACACACCGCTTGCACCAGAAATAATAATAGCATAATTATAACATTCATATATGTACATATAGAAATGATAGAAAACTGAGCGGATAGTATCTATACTTACGTTCATAATAGTGGTTCAGTTGAATAATTGTCGAAGCAAGAATGTTCAGAATGGGGTAAAAATCGATTAATTACAACTGATAAAACATACTTTTATCTAAGCGCAGATCAAACACTTTCGCATACCTATACAAGAGTATAGTAGAGGTGATAATAGGAAGCCATAATATGACTATACAGAGTTTAGCGCTCGACTCACTATATGGATCGCCGTTCACATTGCTAGAGGGGTAGTTGATTGGAATCCGACTATCGGAAGATCATTTTCAAATGTGGCACGGATTGAGTATTCTTGTCCTATCAGCATCTTTTGGCACCCCAGAAGTTTTTTAAAATTCACTAAAGCTATTATAAGTTGTAGAGGTCCCGCACTTCTCAACTATCGCACAAGTTCAGAGTTCAGACTAAAAGGAATAAAAGGATTTCAACTTTGATGAAAGCGATACACAAACAATCCATTTCTCGAATAGGTAGGTACATCAGAGTTCCAGAAAGTGACTGTATTTCAAAAAATTTCCAGTATTTTTTAGTCGGAAAAAGCTCTTCACAAATTTCTCAATTGGACAAACCTTCGAAATTATTGTCATGTAGTATAAGAATTCCAAAAGTCCCCGAACCTACGAGGAGAACCAAGTGCAGGTCCATTTTTTCAAAAATTGTTGTCCATATCTTGAAAACTACGACGGCATATTGGTGCCACATTGGTGGAATCGAAATTTCGAGAAATAACTCTCAAAATTTTGAGAATGTTATGTCTAAATTTTGAGAAAAAAATCTCGAAATTCTGAGAACAAAATCTTCAATATTTAATTTTGCTACTGATAGGAACGAAATGCGAACTATCCTCAAATTGGGGCATTTTCATTTCGGGAATCTCATATATATATGTCAAAAATTCTTTATTGAACGAATATATGCTGAAAAGCTCCCTATAGAATCACAAGAGTGCACAAATAAACAGTCAAAAGTGAATTTTTGTTTGGCCTAAATCACTACCAAAAATCGAAATAATACACACAAGCAATTGGACGATTTCAAAGAAATGTACTTTCATATAATTCCACAACCGGCCACTTTGGCGCTGTGATCTCAAATTCAGTCGCCTTGGGTGGATGAAAGATTCCAATAGATATATGAATCAAAATCGTACCTATACTAAATAAAAATTTCTTGTAGAAGTTCCAACCGTGGAAACAGATAATATAAGAAGAGGATCGGAGCAATTACGAGTAAGTGGTGATATTGGAGTATCTACAGCGTGACACTTCGATTTAATAGGTACCTACCTGCCTATATATTCCACCCAGCAAGAACCACTAATTCAGTAATATAATTATGATTATTTTTCAATACTTCAACTGCAGAAAACAATCATGAAAGTAATATAATTGTACGAAAGTGTAAGACTAAAAAATATTTCAAAAACTTAGTGATTTTTTTCCTACGTTATTATTAGAGATGCAGAAAAAATAATAAATTTTTTTCATATCAACTTTTGATTAGATTTATTTTCAAATAATAATGTGTACAATACATTATACCCAAACCTACCCAAACATGTGTAGTGACACAAGTTGAAAGACAAATTGCGACCATGTGAGGACCTACTGTATTCAAGTTTTAAAAAAACGGGACGGTGTAATTATCCGACTGAGCAAGAAATCATTATACCCCTAGATCATATACTCTAAGATTATACCTATTTTCTTGCCTCTCTCGCGAGGAGCTGAAATCCTCATATTCCTCATTGAAATCTATACTGAAATGAATAATTATCGAAGAGTTTGCTCATGGGTTATAAAACCTCATTTGACAGATATGCACATAGAAATATCTCACCGTCTTCCTATAAATCAGTTAGAAAATTGTTACAGAGTACCTATATATTCTGAACCACCGCTTAACTTTTTTGAGAATTTTTTCTCATAGAACGTTGTAACATGCTTTTTGTTGTAGATTTCAAACTCATGGACAACATTATTTTATTAATGTTCAAATAAGTATTTCAGTGTATTTTCAGATCCTTCCTGAATAAGAGCCGATTTTTCATCGATCTAAATGATGACATTGATTACTACGATAAATACAGATTTGGTTAAATGGAAGAAAAGTTGCGCGAGTGAAGGAACAACAAAAATTATTTTCAAAAATGTCTGATTCGCGACTTTCCGTCTTTGAGATATTTACAAAAAAATAATTAAAGTTATGACAAAACTTAAAGAATATCTTCACGGCAACTTTTGATGCGATTTAATTTGGCATCATCGATTTTCTGTTACCTACGTTTTTAGTCTTCCAGTAACCATTATTCGAATAGCACTTTCTTTCCATTCTGATTTTGACGATGTGCTACAAATCTTGATTTTGATACGTTTTGCGTCTATTTTGGTCATCATCTAGTAATTTTTCGAATACGGACCTGAATTCAGTTCAAATTTTTCAGCATTTCAGGTATGTTACAGAAGCAAGGTTTATTTATGTTCATCCTCCACTGAAGGGAGATCAAAATAAGTTGTTTCCTTTGAAATCAAATCAATAAGAAAATATATAGCATCCGACGTAGTTATTTTCACCTAAGGCCACTATAGATAGTAGGCAAGAACACGAGATGCAGCCTCAGTATGTAGCTCTTTACGCACAGTAAGCACATCGCACAGTTTTCGTTTATTCCGCCAGTCATGATCGCGTAATCGCCGTCAACAGCGGATGACATAACTGTCAAGAACTATAATTCCGACTTTTTGTCCAAACTTTTTTGATGTACTATATGGCAGTAGGCAAAGTATAGTACGTAATTTGTGTTGTAAAGCAATTACGCACTCGCCGCTCCGCGGCAATGTGCGTTACTTTTCCAGCGACAACAGCGACAGGCTTCTGCCGCGATCCACTTGTTGATTTTTAGGTTGGTGAGATGTGACGAGTGCCTGCAGACAGTTTTCGTACCTCCAAATAATATTTGGCTTCCAGCGTATTATCGCAATAAAAGGAAGGTATTTTTTTCTCTTTACTGCAAATGGCGGCGTTCACGACTTTACATTGTACGTTTCGCTTTTTACGTTTCGCATTCTGATTGGTGAAAAAAAATCAGGAATGAACATGACGCAAAAAGGTGAATATTCTCAGCTTTTTGCGTTGTAATATCGGGTCGATTCTGTTTGCAAATAGCAATATGGTTGTAGAGAAGATATTGCTATCATAGCAAGATTCGAAAAAGTGGAATTCTAATCATCGATTTTTGGCAATATGATCTGTCAATTTCAATGACATCTGGTCAGCTTTCTTGCTATCTCGGCAACATCAATTTTGTGCCTGCTATCTTATAACAAGGTAGTGGATTCTTTGTTTTTGCACTACAAATTCTTCCAAGTGTATGAAAATTCAGAAAATAGTGGTTTGAAAACATATGTGAGTTCACTTGTGTCACTGACTACTAGAAGACCTTTCCTCAAAGTTTCAATTTGTAGAAGAATTATTGAAAAACTTAGAATGGTGGTTACAAACATATAGGATAGAGGATAGGTTCATTACTGTGACCAACTACTTGAAAATCTTTTCTTGAAGTTCCAATTTGAAGAGGCAATATGAGACCACAATTTCGGCATATCAGAGAAACCAGAAAACCATTTCAGTTGCCTGATGGACAGTTTATCAAGCTATTTTGCTAGAATATTCGAAAAAAAATTACGATCATTTTCATCCGGCTTTTAGGTTGTTTTCTCATTTCGGGGACATGATTGATTACTTGCACCATAGTCGCACAACGACGACCAAATTCATCGAATACAGAATCTCTCAATTTGAACAATATAATTTTGTAAAGTGTCAGTGCAGGACTGACTAATTTGAGAGGTTAGATAATCATGAACTCTTCTTCTTCATGAAAAAATGGCAAAATCGATACCCAACACTCAAGAAATGAGTTGAAAACAGTGTTGTCAGCCCAAAAATTCTCAATTTTTCAACAATATTATTGCTATCACTTGAACTTATAACCAATCTTGCAGTTACTCTGCAAACAGAATACAGAACTTCATAGCAATATTGTTATAAATTATGATCATAACAATATTGTTATCTTAGCAATGTTATAACAAGATCCGAACAGAATCGACCCGATGTGTGAAAATTGCACGATGTTGGAGAATGGTGAAAATAGACAAATATTCAATACTTCACACAAGTGACAAAGCCGAGGCAACTGGGAAAAGCCGTGAAAACTCACGTTGACGTTTTGTTGAGAATGATATTCGCTTCAGTTTGATTCACGTTGAATTTCAGATTCCGCTTCACCAATCAAAATACGAAACGTAAAAAGCAAAACGTAAAAAGTTTGATTTTGAACCCTGCTTAAGGAAGTAACCTAACGGCCTAAATGAACATTCCCAAAAATATATTTTAGTATAGTTTTGGTTGAAGGTTTCATCAGTTCACTATAATTCATGACTCTAATATGTTAGAATCTTCTTCGTAGCAGCTTCGTAGAAAATATTTTCGGAAAATTACTTGAGAGAACAAAATTAACAAAAAAAAGACTGAGCCTTGGACCACATTTCACCGGTGGCTGCAGGCATGGCATGCTGACATTTGGATCACTGTATCACGAGTGGCCGAGCACACTTCATAATTAGTACGGTGTAATTAGACCTAAACCTCAACATCCAAAGTAAAAGTTTTCCACCAACACCAAATTGCTCTACATAGTCCCCTTATTCTATGGTAGAAAGTTACACCATTTTGAGCGTCGGGTTTGGGGGTGAGGGGGAAGGGAATTTGAAAAATCACTAGTTTTTTTAGTTTTTCGTAAATATTTCAAAAACTAAGCGGTTTATCCTAAACATTGTTATATACAAAAATGTTCTACGTTGAATTTCAAATAAGAATGGTCCTATTCATAATCACTCTAAATTGTAGGGTTCAAGAGTTACAGACGGTGTAAATGTTAACTTTTTCGTAATTTTGATAATTTTTTTAAAAAATAAGCTTCGTAAAAGAATGTTGCTATTTCAGTGGCCGGTGGTATGTTAGTGATAAGCCCTTGAAGGAACGACAACGTCACCACCTTATCAAGGGGCACTCTTTTTTAAGGGAAAAGAGGCTTCCACAGGCCTAGGCCATATAAACCTGTGGTACGGAGAAACCCACCCTGAACTTTCTACGAACATTGCTACATAAATTCACTTCTCAAGCATAAATATCTTACAAATTTGGAATGTTCAATGTCTTTATTAACTTCACTCATCCTCCAGCACATTATCCTCATCCTCTAGCTCGTCGTCTAAGATGTTATTATTGTCCATGTTCTCACATGCTTGGCCTGAGCAATTGCTGCATATGCTAGTGCAGTTTAGACCACTCCTTCTGCATTCACAATTACGAACGCATTCATCTTTGCAAGTACACATTATAAGGGACAGTAATTCCTGGGGGCTGCAGGACGTGCTGTTGTAATTGGTGTCAGGTGGTCGCCAATCTTCTTCCAACCCCACTCGAGTGGATCCTTATCTTCATTCATCCACTGTTGTACCTGGTGGTAGGTCCTAAATGAATGCTGTCTGGACGCTCCTGAAGTGGGGGGTAGTGCATCCAACTTCAGTAATGCATGTATAGGCTGCTTTGCAATCGCAAACGTGTGTTATTGGTGATGACATGGACTTATTAGTACTGTTGACTGTCCACGCACCTTCAGGGAATAAACTGAAAATGGTCGTACCTAAAAAAGGAAATCACCAGGAAAAAGTGTACATTATTTCTGACATTCAGCAAGGCATTGGGGATATGAAAGATGTACTTCTGGTTACATACGCCCTCACAGGATGTGACACTGTGTCTGCTGTCTATAAGGAGGGAAAAATTGCACCTTATAGGAAAGTTCAAGCCAACAACGTTCTTCGTGAAAATCTTCTGGTATTCAACAACCCCAAAGCCGACCCCAGTGCAGTGGCTGATGCAGGAAATTACTTCCTACTTGCAATGTTTGGAGCCAAGAACACTGAAGATCTAGATTGTCTCCGCTATACCAGTCCTACTTGAAAGCGATTGCAAAGCAGCCTATACATGCATTACTAAAGTTGGATGCACTACCCCCCACTTCAGGAGCGTCCAGACAGCACTCATTTAGGACCTACCACCAGGTACAACAGTGGCTGAATGAAGATAAGGATCCACTCGAGTGGGGTTGGAAGAAGTTTGGCGACCACCTGACACCAATTACAACAATTGTGAAAGTTCAGGGTGGGTTACTCCGTACCACAGGTTTATATGGCCTAGGCCTGTGGGAGCCTCTTTTCCCTTAAAAAAGAGTGCCCCTTGATAAGGTGGTGAGGTTGTCGTTCCTTCAAGGGCTTATCACTAACATACCACCGGCCACTGAAATAGCAACATTCTTTTACAAAGCTTTTTTTTTTTTAAATTATCAAAATTACGAAAAAGTTAACATTTACACCGTCTGTAACTCTTGAACCGTACAATTTAGAGTGATTATGAAAAGGACCATTCTTATTTGAAATTTAACGTAGAACAATTTTGTATACAACAATGTTTAGGATAAACCGCTTAGTTTTTGAAATATTAACGAAAAACTAAAAAAACTAGTGATTTTTCAAATTCCCCCTTCCCTCCCCCTAAACCCGACGCTCAAAATGGTGTAACTTTTTACCAAACAATAAGAGGGTTATATAGAACAATTTGGAGTTGGAATAAAACTTTTACTTTGGATGTCAAGGTTAGGCCTTTTTTTAGGTTAATAACACCGTACTAAATTCCATATGATAATTTACGTTGAACGGTTGAACAGATGGTCACGTGTGGTGCACAGTCACGCACAGTCGAGCAGTGGAAGCCAAATATTGGATCATGGCGCGGGAACTGCCTGCAGACACTTGGATATGACTGTATGACAGTGAGATGTTGTCATATTATGTTATGGCATATGTCATTCATATGTCGAATGCAGCTTTGTGACTTGTGAGCCTTTGTTTTTGTAGCTTTGCTTGTAACTTTTGTAATTTTGTAATCAATATTCAATATTACAAGATTACATCTAATTTAGAATTCTAAAGAAATAAATACAAATTCCAAACATTCCAATTTCCAATCATGACAAATGACAACGGCCATTTAAAAACTATTGAGCTAAAATAGTATTTATGTTTAATGACGTGTTTGGTTGAAATACCTTTTGTGTTGTGAAATTTAAGATCTTGTTCAAATCTTGTTCTGCAGTGTCCTGATTTGAAATATAATTTATCTCTTGAAGTCATCAAATCATCATCCTACTGATCCTAGTAGTGTATGCATAATGCATCCAAGTAGGAGGAGAAAGAAGCGTCCTAACTATGGAATTAGGACAGTGGAGGTTATGAGGGGTCCAAATGGATTTGGCTTTACAATTTCAGGACAACAACCATGCATTTTATCCTGTATTGTGAATAATTCACCCGCAGAACAAGCTGGTCTTCGAGCTGGTGACTTCTTGATATCTGTTAATGGTGTCTCTGTATCAAAAAAAGCTCATGATGCTGTGGTAAGCTTGATAGGGAGTTGTGTTGGGCCAATTGAAATGACAATTGCAGAAAATTACTATTCAGATAGTAGTGATGAAGATTTAGGATGTAGCAGAATGGGAAATGGTAGGAAGCCCAAATACATGCACAAACCCAGAGGGAGAGTTAACAAAGTGGATCTGAATAAAGTAACAATGGATATGAATGAGAATAGTTCATTCCAAATTGGAGAATCAGTTTTAAAACAAGATTCAAATGAACCTCAAATTGTCTGTAATAAAAGTGGCCCAGTTGAATTTTTGAACATTACAAATTCCATTTCAATGGATGAAGAAGCTGGTCCTTTGGAGTATAAAGTTTTAGTAGGTTATTTAGGAACAATTGAAATGCCTGAACAATTGCTACCAAACTCTAGATTACAGACAGTTTGCAGCTGTATAAGAAAACTTCGCCAAGAAAAAAGAAATCCTACTGCAGTTCTGATGACTGTTCTTCCAACCTGCCTAACACTGAAGAATGCTTGTAATAATATCTTGGCAATTTATCCTAGTAACCGTGTTGTGTATGTTGGTTCCACTGCAGATAGAGAATCAAGATATTTTGGTTTGGTAACTAGTGCACTGAGTGATAGATTGAACGAGAATTTTGATAAATGCTGTGAAGGGAAAGTTTGTGAACCAGTTGAAAAAAAAATCAACAATTTTGATAATAACATAGCAATTTCCAACAGTTGTCACATTTTTGTAACTGATCCGAAAATTGTAGATCATAATTTGCACCAGAAAAAAGCAGAAAGCTTCAAAATAACCTGTACCACCAACATGATTAATGGAAATTGTCTGGAGTTTCCAAGCAGCTCTTCCTACATTGTGAGGATAATACAGAGTATGTATAAGTTGCAAAATGCTGATAAAAATAATGAAAATGTTGGTCCAATTGTTGCAAATTCCCCACAACCAAGTGCATCTAGTAACTCTGATTCTGGAATAGGGTTCAGGGATGATTGTGGTAATATAAGTGACCGGATTTTGGTTGTAGAGTTTCCTGTACATAGACCTCTACAAACTTCAAATTTCAACAAAAGGCCAAGTGGAATTCATGCTTCAAATGTTCCTTTAGAATATTTAGACAAACCACTGAACAGTGATCAACTACATTCCTTTGAAATCAACAACTCACATCATAGCAATGTTATATCAAACAGTCAATCCATGAATAATAATGATTATTCAATCTTGAATAATTTGAACAATGTGAGGGCATGTGAGCACAATATGAAACAGGAAATTGAAAAGGGAGACTTCAAAAATGCAAAATATGACAATATCCATCAGCCAGATAATATCTGTAGGCTGACTTGTAGAGCCATCCCTGATTTTTCAGTAAATAATGTTAATCCTGGTCCATCATCTCTGAGCATCAGAAGCTCTGATGATAACACACACATACCTGATTTGGGAAAAGAGTTTTACTCTGAAAGACCAGTTGATGTTCCTCTCTCAAACCCAAATCAACATACTGAATCAAGAAATGGTTCTGTTGATACTATCTCTGTTCATAGTTCAAAAAGTTGTGAGTTCTCAAACTTGCTCAGTGTTTTCAAAGCTCCATTTGAAAGTAAAAAAGCAAGAAAAAATATAAAAATAATGAGTAGTCTGGATAATTTAGACAAATGTGGTGAAAGCTCAATGAACTACAAAATGAGCCCAAGAGTTTGTCATCTACCAAAAATAAATTACAGTTGTGAAGATTTCAATAATTTTGATTCCATTGACAAATATGGATATGGGAGTCTACAAGATCTATGGAGTTTGAATGGACCCCATCTGGATTTGAAGAATATAGCACAAAGTGAACCAGATGTTCGGATTTCAAGAAATATTGAAAATAACTTGGTGAGTTTTTTTTCACTTTTACATTGAAGAATATCAATATGCATATTTGAAAATTTGTAAACATTAGAACCTACAGGAACCCAAAACCAAAATTGAATATTTAAAATAGAATGCTTCTCATATTTTCATGGTTCCCTTTGAGGAGTCATCAATATTTTATTTGTTATTTCCTAGTACTAGTCCAACATGTGGTATCAGAAATATTCATAGAAAGATTATGGAAAAAAAAATCAGCTGGTTGGTGATACATTATCATTTAGCCATTATTTTGTCAAGTTTTAGGGTGGTGGCATAGTATGACCATATATTTTTGTGGGACAGATATTTTTTCATGTTTTTTCTTATTTTCAATTCCATTTCACCTCACAAGTGAACCTGAAAAAAATAGATGGTCATTCATTTTCAATACTCCATCAAATTGAGGATGAAAAAAATGTTGATTGTGACAGTATACCTACAACAAAAATCTCGACAAAAATCGAATATAGCAACAAACCATGGCTTAAAAGACCCCTCATTGTAAATCAAGGGGTGGCTCACTTGCCTAAATTTTGCACACCATATTACCAATAGGAATTTTTAAAATATTATAATTTCACATCATATCGCATTATGGTTGCTAACTTCAGGAATGACTATATTTTCTACGAGGGGCGCAAGAAAGGCTCACAAAATCGAACATCAATTTTTTCAAATGGAACACCCTGTATTTCATTGCATTTTCATATTCTCCTTGAAGAGCTGAATTCAACAACCTAGCACACTTGGGGTCTAGCGGGAATGATTTCCGAGATATAGGTTGTGGAAAATCGAGATTTTTCATTTTTGGGAATTTTTAGTGTCAAAACTATTCATTATTGGTCAAAACGGCTTACATGTCCATGTCCATATCTTAACTTTTGATTTACTATTTACTCGTATTTAATTGAAACAAATACAGGGTGGTGTAGAATTCTGACTCGCGTTTGTTTGTGGTTCTCTAAAAAAAAAAAAAAATTTTGTTCTAAAATTTGTTCTATCCGTCATTCGGTTGCCCCCTTACGAGCAACCCTCAAAAGTCTTCGAAAGTCTTGTGCGAGCAAGGAATGACGGGGGCCTTACCTTTTAACGTGTGATACCAAACACTTTCTTGGGCCATCAGAAAAATTTCTGCAGTCGACGGGGATCGAACCCACGACCGGCAAGCGAATGCGAATTAGAATATAGACACTCTGTCCGCACGGCTACCTGGTCTAAGAATTGTGTAGGACCGAATGAAACGGCAAAGAATGAAGAATGACATTGATGTGATGACAACCGTGTGAAAACCACAGTCAATCGAAATGAAATAATAATCATCAATAAAAAATTATATCAATTTTTGGATCTTTGGATTGGATCCATGGATTGATGATACATATTGAATAATGGTTTTGGCAGCGTACATACATTAATGTATGTACGCTGGTTTTGGTATATACGTAAGGGCTGCGGGGTAAGTACGTGGGACTTTCTAACTATGACTGATCAATAACCATTCCCTAGACATTGGTGTCATTCGATATTATGAAATTTTGATAGTACCTATATATTAATGAAGAATATTGTAGTGAATCATGTAGTGAGCACCATATTATGGAAATGGAAAGTGCACTGGAACTTATATTTGTTACCTACGTAGCGACATTCTTCATGAAATTATGGATTCATTAGATGACAAAATTAAATCCAGAATGATGAATCTTTCATACTGACCTTTTTCAGAATATGTAATGAAGCCAAAAAAGTCGAAAATTTTCATGACATTATTGGTATACCAAGACTCAATACAAAGACATTTCAGAGCCATTTCAGATTGCCTCCTGAATATTTCCATGAGTTATATGCACATTTTTCCTCTTTTGTTGGCTCATCTTTTCCATCAGTAGGTACCTACCTATTCCGTATCTACTATTTCTATTCTACAAAGTTTTTGATTACAACAAAATTATATTGATGTATGTCAAATACCCTTATTTGTTAAACATTCCAAACATTCCACCAAGCATTCAATGTTCTGAGACCGAATGGCCAGTGCCACCGGAATGATGAAAAATTTCACAGAATTGTCAATAAAATGGCGATTCTTTCCCACTAGCAATGATAATAAAACGCAACTACTATATGACACAAGGATTTGACATTGAAGATGACAGGAAGTTAGGTTGTCAATGTAGTTTGCCTTCTTTTTTTTTTGTATTTCCGGGAGCCTAGGCATTACACTCTTGCCCGTGCTACAAAATAATCTGTGATTAAATAAAATCTTGATCATTATTAGGAATACTAAGATATTTTCATTGGTACTGAAACATCGAGTGAAACATCTTGCAAGTATATAAGTTGCTAGATATCATAACTAAGAGAGATCCAGGATGAATAGAGTTGCCCTAATTGACAGCAGGAGCGAGGCAATACTGTTTCGACCCACAAGGTCTCATCAGCCGCTCTCGGTCGACCACGATGCAATTTTACACCCATTCAATTATCACCCTGTAGCAATGTTATCTGAAATCACAGAAGTTTCATATTGCCACAACAAACTGTCAAGAGATTAGGCTAATCATCGGTGGAAACCGATTTCAAATTGGTGAGGAAATACGTGAGTTATTCTACTTTGAATTCAGGCTATATTTTGGAGCACGACGTTATCAATGTTGACCAGTTTAGTATGTGTCGCGATCTCTTGATCTTACTTTAGAGCTTTGCCACTAGTTGGCTACAACATATAGTATATAAGTATTCAATAAGTGATTATTAGGGACCAGTTGAACATTATAGGGATTCCCTTTCGTGCGCTCCAAGCGATAAAAAAATAAAAAAATTCGACTAGTGTACAACCCCATTATGCTGTGACGGGTCGACCGGCGCTCTGGACTGGACGTATGGGTTGTATGTTCTTCCTTCAGGAACTATAGGAAACCACTCGCGTCACGAGAGATAACTTATTAGTATATTACGTAACAAGAGTTGTAAGTAACCCATTACGCACGAAATGAAAAAGTTTATGCACGAAGCCGCGCCGAGCGAGGGCATAAGTTTCAGGAGTGCGTAAGGGGCTTACAACTCGTGTAGCGTACTATACTTTTTCTACGCCCATTCATTTTCTTCCATTAACTAAGAAACATCGCAATCATTTAAACTTTATTATAATAGTTGTTAATAACAATTGAACAATTATTGTAAATCGATTGTGCCTTATTAATCATTGGTGATGACCGGTTATTCATAATTGTAGTACTGCTCGGTACATCAGAAGACGAAGATTGATAATTAATTAGCGGTGACAATTTTATTATGTCTGGCAGCTTGAGATTTTTCTAAAATCTCCGGTGGAGTGCTCATAATTTCATCACTTTCAATACTATCAGACATATTCGTAGATAAAGTTGAGAAAATGTTTGGATACAATTATATTTTGTTAATGAAATTGTCAATATAAATGACATGACATTTATTTTCATAGCATGCTACAAGACATTGCATAACGTGCTGTCTACATTCAGGGGCATCACTCTTTCAATCCTATAATTATATCTCGCTAATGCTAGAAGTTTTTATGTTTTTTAATTGACTTAATTTGTGTTAATAGAACAAATAAAGTCTTACGTAAATAAGTATTTTTGTAATTTGATTAAACCAAGAAGTTTGAGTTTTCTTCTCAAAACGCACGTGTATGTTATGAGACCTCATTACGTGCAAGTTATTGCTAAATGTCATTTACAAGTAATGTGGACAGTGCGATTTTTGACGTATACAGGGTGGCTGGAATTCGAGCCTCATCATTGGGATCTCGTGAACCGTGAGAGATACAGGGTCGGTTAAATTATGGCAAAGTTGCGCAATTTCATGCCTAACAAAATGCCGTTCTGAAACTTTGAAAATTCCCAATACTTTCGGAGATATCCGAGAAAAAATCGAAATTCCATAAAATCGTTTTTATTTTTTTCTGGCGTTATTTGAAGAAATTAATCGATATGAATAACACTTTATCCTATCCACTTTTTCTTCCCTACAACATGGCGTCATCGCATTTGGAATCTGACGTTTCGTCTTCCAGAAACCATCATCAACTTACTTTTTTAAATACGGACCTGGATTTTTTATTTCATTTTTTGTTACCTTCAGATAGCCCAAAAACTATAAGCTATCACAAATTTCTATTTTCAAATGTTTCAATGACTAAAATTCACGGTTTCTCTATTTCTAATAACGCAAGAAAAAAATAAAAACGATTTTATGGAATTTCGATTTTTTTCGGATATTTCCGAAAGTATTCGGAATTTTCCAAGTTTCAGAACGGCATTTTGTTGAGCATCAAATTGCGCAACTTTGCCATGATTTAACCGACCCTGTATCTCTTACGGTTTACGAGATCCCAATGATGAGACTCGAATTCCAGCCACCCTGTACAGACATGAGCGTAGAAAAATTAATTATTATTCAGAAACTTGTACTTGGAAAGATCCAAGGCGTATCAAGTGTCGTATTCGAGGTACAAAAAATTTAATTTGGAGATATACAGTGAGCCTAACACGGATAGCAGATAAAGCATAGACATGCAATATGAGTTAGATATTGGACATAACAAAGGAGATGAACGGAGCAAATATTTCGAAAAATATTGAATTTAGGAGTAGAGTGTATTAGATAGAACTGTTGAGAATCATGAGGATATTTCCAAAATAGTATAATACTTATACGGGGTGTTCTATTTGAATTTGAAATATATTCAAGATGGCGCTCAGCCGCCATTTTAAAACTGTCAGCTGTCGTTTGTTCATGAAAAAGTAGGTTTCCATCTCTTATATTTCCTTTTCATTAAATGAGCAATGCCATTGACCATGTTTAGGTATTCAGCATTGTTTAGCATATTACTAAAATCTCGATATATATCAAGTAGCCTGGGAGTTCAGTTGTCAAACAGTGTAAAATTTGTCACTGTAGTGATAAAATAGTAATAAACTGATTGCAGCTCTGCTAGG